CTACATCAAAACTTTTGTTACCTCTTGTGACACTTGCGCCCGAAATAAGGTACCTCGCCACCTTCCTTCAGGTTTGCTTCATTCCCTCCCGGTCCCTTCAGGTCCTTGGGAATTCATCTCCATGGATTTCTTGAGTGATCTTCCGAGTTCTTGAGGCTTCAACAGCATTTTAGTCGTGGTGGATCGCTTCACAAAGATGGCGCACTTCCTGCCGTGTACCAAGGAGTTTTCGGGCGAGGACATGGAAAAACTAGTATTTAGGGAAATTTTCTGACTTCATAGGATTTCTGCAGATGTGGTTTTGGATCGGGGACCTCAGTTCATCTCTTATTTCTGGCAACGGTTTTTGCAGCTGCTTGGAGTGAAGGCCAACCTCTCTTTGGCGTATCATCCTCAAACTGATGGACAGTCTGAGCGAATGATTCAGACGTTAGAACAATTCCTGAGGTGCTTCATCAAATATCATCAGCATGACTGGTTCGATATCCTTCCACTTGCTGAGTTCTCCTATAACAACTCTGTCCACTCCTCTCTTCGAGTTTCCCCCTTCTTTACGAACTCTGGCCGAAATCCCCAATTCAATCTCTCACTTCCTTCTCCATCCGAATCCGCTCATTCAAATCCCCGCTCTGAGACATTTGTCTCCAACCTCCAGGAAATCCACAACTCCATCTCCTTCCACCTCCATCGTGCTCAGGAATCTCATAAAACATTTGCCAATGCCCATCGTCAGGATTGTCCCCCTTACAATATTGGGGATAAAGTCTGGCTCTTCAGGCAAAATATCTCCACCACCAGGCCATGTCCCAAACTCGATTTCAAACGCCTCGGTCCTTTCCCTATCACTACTATCATTAATTCTGTTACTTATCGCCTTGCACTTCCCTCCTCCTATCAAATTCACCCCATTTTTCACTCCTCTCTCCTTGAGCCTTATATTCCCAGTCCTATTCCAAATTGGGTCATTCCTCCGCCTTCACCAGTGCAGCTCGAGGATGGGTCTGAGTACGAGGTTCAGGACATCCTTGATTCCAAGATCTCACGATCTAAACTCTACTATCTGGTCAACTGGAAAGGTTATGAACCTGAAGAATGCACTTGGGAACCTGCGGACAACCTGATTCATTCTCCTGACCTTGTTCAAGACTTCCACCGCCGCTATCCTTCTCGTCCCAGCCCTCATTCTTTTTCTCTATCTCCCGTCTCTGGCCGCCCATCTCATCCTCCTCTTCATTCTCATTCACGTCCTCGTTCCACTCGTTCTTGAGGAGGGGGTGCTGTTAGGAATTCCCCAATTCATACCACATTCCTGAATCTCACTGGATTCCTGACCTGCAGACTACATTCCTTATTCTCGAAACACTTCCCTATTTCTGACTCTCGAGACTCTTCCCTATTCCTAACTCTCTGATTTCCTATACGATTCCTAAGTCTTGAGCCACATTCCTAATGATGATGTGGCACCTCCTCGACCTCAGCTATATTTAGGCCGTCCTCGATCCAAGAGTGGTGGAGCTTCATCAACATATAGTATATATAGGTTAGTCTTATTCCACTTCTCCACAATTTGAATCAACACCAGTCTAAGGCCTCTTCTTTGTTTCCACTAGCTTTTCTCTTTATCTTTTGCATTTTCCAGTCTTAATCTTGTTGGGGGTCTTGACACATCCCTAGTTAGAATCAAATGATGTATGGCAATCTTAACCCCAGATGATAGGTTAAATTCAAAGAGATCGGCATACTCCTTCATGAGCTGGTGAAGTTGAAGGGATCAAAAAAAGGAAGAGCAGAACAAAACGAAAATATAGGACGAAATAATAGGGAGACAAAAGTAATGGAAATAAAAGTAAAAGTAGAGGGATAAAGAGGTACGAAAGTGAGAGGAATGGATAAAATATAAAGAAGTATGAGACAAAGGGGAGAAGCCTCAAAGTCACACTTGGCATGAGTGCACTATAACCAATCTATACCAAGGATAAAGTCAAAACTTTGACTTAGCACCATTTACAATGACTGCAACTCAAGTTCGAGATCGCTTATACACAATTAGATCCACGTCATCCCATGCACATGCATGTGTATGACTGTTTCCATAAAAAATAAAAATTGGCTCTACCACATGACGCAAATGTAGATGGAAACATGTGGCAACAGGTAGAGCAATAGAAGATAAACTTGAACTTATATTAACTAAAATGGAGAGAATAATAGGAAATCTCTTGTTATAAAAATGAGTTATGAAAGTAAACACTAAATGAATTTGTGCCGAGTGAACCCCTTGATGATACTTCTGAAAGAAAGATGAAAGGGTCACTGACTTATTTATGCAAGGTCCCTTTGTTACTTGTACGACACCTCATTTCTTGGATGCATTTAGGTGTTTAAACCTTCCACTACAACAGCATCAATAGGACATTATTAACACCAAAGTCTCCACCTAGGAAATAGAGGCTGCCAATCCAAAAAACGCCAACAATGTCAATAAATGTGACCAACTTTATCACACACTCAACAACAAACATCATAGCCATGACTATATCCTCCCCTTATCCTTGAACTCAAGCAGTAGCAACATCAACCTTCATTGGAATAAGACCATCTCCCACATGAAGTGGAGCTGAAGGATGTGTAGCAAGAAATGGAGGTAAGGACATCTTATAATGTTGTGTCAAACAAAGGGCATTGTCAAGGGTGGCTAGAACAAGTGCATGCATAAGTTGTACAAGATCTTGATGAAGTGCTGGCCATAACATTCCCAGGTTAATCCACTCTAACATATTTAGCTTTGCATGAAGCAAGAGGCTTCAAAAGTAAACACCAAATTGCATCACAAACTCAAATGATCTTTGATAAAGATAATGCAATTGTTGGAAGGCATCATCACAATCATCAGTATGTCCAAATGCGCATTTGAAAAAGTATTAGGAGAATATTCCAATCCCTACAAGTGGTTGCACTCAAACCATTGTACTACTACAGTGTTGTCCCTTGGAGACAAGTGGGAAACTCACACAAACATTAAACACCATCCCAAGAATTATATGTGGCAATCACCATAAAGTGATCAAACCAATGATGCACATTCTCCCTAGGATTCTTATGAAAGAACTTTGGCCGAACCCAAGGATCGGCACCAAGAGCAGAAGGAGCTATACCACGTGCCATGAATGCCACCATCAACTAAGTTTGGTTATGCAACTAGTATCGAACAATTGCACCAACTACTACTCCAAAGTCAAAGGAGGAGGAGACTGATGCTTTGCCATGAAGATGTATGAAAAGAAAAGAGTGAAAGAAATGAAATGGAACAAGCTAGAATGAAAAGGAGATTTAAATAATGCAAAAGCTAGATTTAAACAAAAATCCCAAATTCAAGCACTCTTTAAGGACAATCAAAGGTGCCATTCAACTCCACCAATGTAAATGTATAGAATATAAAAAACAGAATATAAAAAATGTGTATATCAATTAACCCAAAAATCTTAGCTTATATAGAGGAATAAGTGATCTGGATTGAAACCAATCTGACAACTACCAAAATCCCACTACATTAATATTAGTATACGGCATTATAGCCGTATAATTGGACCTCATATTTAATTGTTTTTTTGTTTGTTTTTTTTTAATAAATCACAAATTGTTAAGGCCATGAATAACTTTGTTTTTGACTATATGGTGACTCAACTATAGTGTTAATAAATTGTGATCTTCCTACAAGTAAATGTGCACTAATCTTTGCTAACTCATCTACAACTTGATTTCCAATGATGTCATAGTGCCCTTTGACCTTACAAAAATGAACTGGAATAAGTGATGTTCTCACAAGCCAAACAATCGTTTGGATGATATTTGCATTCAGGTGGCAACCCAAGGATATTAGGTCTTGCATATACATCTCTAGCAGAGTGAGGGGATCATAGCTGTCGGTGTATACAAAGATTGGCTCCCACAATCCCTAGTGCTATTGCATCTCCAAACAAATTTCGAGGGCTTATAACAAACCTAACAACTCAAATGTGATAATGGAGTTTGTATGTAGATTGTTGATTAACCTTCTCCCACAAGTAAGTTATATGAAAATTCTTAAGATGAATACTCCATAACCTCCAAAAATTTTGCAATTGAAATATTTATTAGTAAAAGCTTGCAATCTAGATTATTAACTGCCATTTTTAACATATACACAACCTTATTCACCTCAAACATTTCACTTCCTTGTCTTTAATGCTATTTTCTTGTTCTGGAAAGTACACCTAACCCAAAAAAGCAATGGCAAAAGCTATGGAAATATGTCCTTTTTTTCTCAATTTGAAAATTCCAAACATCCCAGAGGACGGAAAATGATGCAGGAACTTATATAACAACAGCTCTAGAAACCTGCCAATATGTGACTTAAAAACTTCATCCTTTCGTCTGAATCAAGCTTGCAATCGTGAAAACTGATCACGCTATCGCTCACTGTTTAGAACTTGAAGAAAAGCCAAAAGGAAAAAGCAGTGTTAGCAGGAGAGATCAGCGTGGCAGCCGGGGGCGGCGATCTTATACGGCAGTCGCTCCTCCCGTCGTTTTCCAACCGTCTCATCCCACGCATGCGCGCGATTACCGATTTATATTCCACGGCTTACATCAAGCAAGCAACGCTGTGCTTTCCTGGAGAAAACAATTAGTCTAAGAGCTGGTCTCTCGTCTCTTACATTTAGCCTGCCTTGGTTCCGAGCTCCCTCTGCGTGGGCTACTTCGTACCTGCAAGGATCACGATCTCGTCGTGACTTGAATCTCATGAGCGAGCGAGCGGATCAAATGCGTGCCATACCTGTCACTGGTACTAAGTCTTATTTGATTCTTCCGCGCATCGAGGACGCTCTCGCTCCCTGAAAAAAGAAAGCAAAAACACACAAAACAATTGTTAAAGCTAGATGGACAAACAAACAGCCAACCAACCTCGCAAGTCGCGGCATTGTTTCCGAAACACCAAACAACGACGGAGACGGAGAGAGAGAGAGAACAAAATTAAAGCTTTTTCTTTTCGCTATCGGACCATAAGTGCCTGAAACATTCCCCTGCAAAGGCAAGCAGGCTCTTTAAGGAGCAAATCTCACCAGCGAGCACACGTACAGTGCTGGGAGCTCTCCCCTCTCTCTCTCTTTCTATCTCCTCCCTTCACTTTGTAGTTAGCCGTGTCAAAATGGTTAGAGAGAAAATCAGTAAAAGAAAAATGCCGCTACGACAAAAACACACCTCCCTCCGAACCTGGATATAATTCTGATCGTCGCAGAAGTAGTAGTAGTAGTAGCAGCAGCAGCAGCAGTTCTCGTCGCTCTCGTCGTCGTGCCGCCGCCTTTTCTTCACTCCATCAATCAACAAAGCTTCATCATCTCGGCTGACTGCTGCGGCTCTTGCCTCCCATAGGCCATGAGCGGCTCTCTCGCAAACCCCACCTCCCTGCTAGCCACGACTTCTCTCAAAGCCCACCACAAGAAGGGCGCCGCAAGGAACGCATAAGTTCCAATGGCGAGGCTTCTCACGATCCCATTCTCGTAGACCGGCAAGGCCATGACGACGAGGACACCAGCGATACCGACCCAGGGAGTCATGGTGGGAAAGACTGGCAACTGGAAGACGTTTGCAGTGATGACCAAGTAGGAAAGAGAACCGAGAAGGAGAACACTCCAGCCCATCACAGGATGAACTGTAGTCGGGATGACAAAGAATGGAAGGACGAAGCACATAACAATGGCGACAACCGGGGACAGCTTGGCAACTAGGCGATAAAAGAATTGTGTTAGATCGGGACAAGGACACCTACCTAGGCACGATTTGAGGGGGACTTTCTCGGAGGACGAAAATCTGCGGCGTATGACTAACGAGACAGTCATGGTTATGAGGTAGAAAATGGCTTCCGCTGCCAGGATCGGAATCTCGGTACCATATCTGATATATATCGTATCGGTGTAAGTACCAGCACTATTGACAAAAAATTCCATACATACCCGATGGATTTTCTTCGCTGCTCATGCCACGATAGTCCAAGAGGAAGGACCGGCCAGGCCCACCAATACCATGGCTTGAGTAGTGGAATGCTTGGAAATGTGATTACGCTGTTTGGCCCGCATGGGACATTCCACTTGAGACGCAAATCTGGTAACGTAAAGGATAAGTACATGAAAGATCCAGCACGCCAGCCAGCGCACCAAACAAAAAAACTAGAGAAGAAAAAAAAAACAACCACAGCCGGACTTACAGTAATATGAAGCGTCCATTTGGTATCCGAGAGGAAGACGATACAAGCCGTCCAATTTCGATCCATTTCGGGGAGGGGTGAACAGTGGCCTTTCCAAAAGATCACTGAAGTAGGCTGTCAAAAGCCCCTGATCGGCGCCATCGTTGTTCTCTCTTCCCTCCTTTATGACCTCGAGCATGTCCTGGAACGTCTCGTTGGAAGGCTGCCAAAGCGAAACTATCAGACACAGACACAGACACACACACAAAACAAAGAGATCTAAGAAGCAAACTTCACTGCCTCCAACGCATTTATGATCGCGCTTGCGTACCTTGAGAACGAAAAGGCCCGTGTGGAAGTAGCAGGGATTGATGAAGCACGCGCAAAACTCCCCGCACTGGAAGAGCTCGTCCGTGTTGTGCAAGAACATGTTATCGGCGTCGAGCATCACCACTCTCTCGTAGTCTGTGAGAGACCACGCGTAGATTTTGTTGAGCGTGAACATGAACCGATCGTTGAATCCATCCATCCCCTTGTATGGATTTGGGATATCGGTGACCGAGACAACCTTGACGCCCTCTTTGTTCCTGGCAAAGGGAGAGCAAACGATTTTCAGCTGCCAGATCGAGCGATATTTCGCCAGGGATCGGATCGATAGACACTTACAGCGTGCGAATCCAGCGCGGCGGCACAGTCGTCGAGGCGATGACGATCAGATCGGCATCGGCCTTGTGCCGCGCCAGGGACTGCATCATGACCCTGATCGCCACGAAGAACTCGTAATCCCGGGGCGTCCCCATGTACATCATCGTCGCGTACGCGTTGCTGTGCCGAGGAGCAGCGCCAGCGTCCGCGGCGGAGAGAGCGACCGACATGGCGAGAATGGCGACGAGGATCTGCATTGCGAAAAGATAGGCGCCGCTGCCCCAGCTCCCGGCCATGCTCTGGCCGGATCGAGCGCCAAATCCCCTAAATACCCAGCGCCGCCGCTGCTCTGCCAAGGATCACAATGCAGCTCCGCCACGCCGATTGACGCGCTCCCAGATTTCGCCGCCTTACTCGCGCATCGATCGATCGCTCGGCATCCCTAGCCTAGCCTAGCCCTGGAGAACGCGCACCCTCTCAAACCCATCGTGGATCCCGAGGTCTTATCCCAGGAAGGAGGTCCCCCTACGGGCATATACTCCAGTGCGCCGGGGAATATACTCCTGTCGAGATATTTGCCCTTTCAAAACTTTGTCGTTGTACCTTCTACGCGTACGTTTTGTGGCGGCCATGTCATGACCGGATCTCACAACGCGGAACCCAATCGCGTGTGCTTCGACTTTGCCCTCGTAGTCCTTGAAGAGACGGGGTTTGACTTAGACAACGGCCACGATGTCCACGTCCGTACGATAAAAATTCGATCGTGCGGCTGTGGTCTAGAACCCGCCGTATCATTTGACAAGTCAAAAGAGAAATATCTTGACACAGTCGAGCTGCCGAGAGTTGTTTGTGAATTCCGTGTTGAATCCAAAGTGAAGAACACGGGCGGATCTAAACCATTTTTTTCGTGCCACGCTCTTCCTGGACTGGACCCCAGATAACAAGTTTTGCTGGATATTCCACTGCTCTGAATGGAGAGCAAACGTAAGGACAGGAAGGAAAGCTCTCAACAGTTGCTACATTCCCAAAAATCAAAGAGTTGGAAAATAGGACGAAGAACCTGTGAATTTGGGATGGTATCTTTGACGATCCACCATTGCTCCAGTGTGTCAGAAATTGCGGAGAAAAAATCGAAATGGGAGGCGTCGTCTATCTCGGCCTGGAACTTAAGCGGGGGCTCACTCCGTGTAAGAGCTTCGTGAACCCGTAGAAGCTGAGCTTGCCATCCACGGGCCTGAGCCATTCGTGGAGTGAAACGTGCGCTGGCGAGTTTGGAGATAGTCCCAGTTCCTGTGAAAGTTACGCGGAGTTTACTTCGCAAACACGAGAGGAATGCTAAGCGTACCTTTGCAAGCTCCTCGACTGTAAGTGATCGATTGCCTTCCCGGTTGAATATCTCGTATGCTGATCGAGCGTGTCGCTCCCAGCGATCCAACGCTTCAAGCTGGTAAACGCTGATGGTTGCGGCACAGAACTCGTAGAAATCCATTTTTCTTGAAGCCAAGGCATCCATCTGCAGCCGACCAGCAGTGAAAGGTTAACAGGAGTCCGAGAAAAGAATATGCATAATCTATAATTCTACACGAACCGAAGACAGCATCTCAAACAGCCTCGCTTCTTTCATGGCATCGGTGGAATGCTTAGCCAAAGCCTGCGCACCATGAGAAAAAGTTTATAACGCGAGGGAATCGAAAAATGTAAAATAAGTACCATTCTGAAGTTCTCTAGGGACACGCGACCATTCTTACTGGGCTCCAATAGTAAGAACTGAGCTCTCAAGTAAATCAGCTCGTCCTCAGTTAAAGTCCTTGACAGCGCCTACACTTGAAAGGAAAAAGCCAAACCGATAAAAGTCTGAAGAAGCGATGGGAAGTAGACACGCACCTTGAGAGCTGTCTGCTTTAAGGGTGTGGCTCGTAAATAGGACTTGACTTGCTTAAAAATAAATATGTCTAGAGGAATTTTTCGCTCTCCACGAATCCACGGGTGACCTGCAAAAAGATAGTAAAACAGACAAATGAACAAAGCATAAGAATCACGAAGACTAATATACTTACTTAAAGCTTGGACTGCTGTCATTCGCTTCCGCGAGTCCTTATTGAGCAGCCTCTTCACAAAATCTTTGGCTTCGGTAGATACCGAAGGCCAAGGAGTTTCCACAAAGTTGGGATCTGCTCGCAAGACCGCGCGAAAGATTCCGGACTCTGTGCGAGCCCAGAAAGGCCTGCTTCCACAGAAGAGGATATAAGTTATAACTCCAACACTCCATATATCAGCTTCCATGCTGTAGGATCTGTGAAGTACTTCGGGGGCAACATAGTACGCACTCCCGACAATGTCGTTTAGCTTCTCATCTGTGCAACAAAGTAAGAGGTTCATACGTTTCTATTCGAGTTACTGAAACTTTCAGTACCTGGTTTCACATAATCCGAGAGTCCAAAATCGATTGCTTTCAAGGGCGCATTCTCGTCCTTGGCAGTAAATAGGAAATTCTGCAGAAATTACAATCTATTAAGCCTCGCAGCATGGCAAAAGTTACGTTTACCTCACCTCTGGTTTTAAATCTCTGTGAACGACACCTTGAAGATGGCAATAAGCAACTATTTGTAAGATCTGCGAGAGCACAACCTTGGCGTCCTCCTCGGGGAATTTTCCACCTCTGTAGCAGGAAACAAACAAAACAAGGATAAGAAACCAAAGAACAAAGTGGAAGCCACTGTACCTTGACAGAATCCGGTCTAGCAGCTCTCCTCCTTCGCACAACCTTTATCCGAGAAAAAAAGATATGTCAGGCAAAAAAAGTCGTGCCGGAATCTTAGCGAAACGTACTCCATGACAATGTACACATTCAGGTTGTCTTCGCATGCATCGTAGAACTTTACCAGGTTGGGATGACCAGACAGAGCCTTGAGAATCTTCACTTCTCGACGTACATCCTCGATCGCTATCGCCGTGGTCATCTGCAAGAAAACCATAGTTTAATACAGGAAAGAACATAAACAGTACGGAACATACACAGACCTTTGCCTTCATGATGATCTTGACCGCAACTTGTTGGCCTTTAAGCTCGCCCCTCTTCACTTTCGCGAAGCAAGTATGCCCAAAGTGACCGCGTCCAATCTCCTGTCCCAGCTCGTACCGAGAAGCAAAGTTCTTCGCAAATCCAAAGCTCTTGTCAAGGCCTCCTCCGTTCTCGATCGCGGTAGCAGCAGCAGCACCTCCTCCTCCAGCGACTCCTCCAGCCTCCTTAGTTTTCGTAGTTCCCAGCCTCTTCATGAGCGAGGCTTGGATGTGCTTGGCCGGCGATGGTGGCGGAAACGGCCGCCGAAACATCCTTCTCGGCGTGGAATTGGCGGGCGAGCTCGCGTAAGGCATGGGACTAGCCGGAGGGAATGGCGAGTTGCTAAACGATGACTTGGAGGAGAAATGTGGAGAATTGTTTCCACCCGTGGTGGTGGAGTAGCCATTGTAGGAATTCTCCTCAGTGCTCTTGTGCTGCTGCTCGTTTCCTCCAGTTTTTCCATAGCACTGCCCCATTTCATCGATCTACCAATCCGCTAGAGCTCGAGCAGCATCTTCTCCACCAAGAAACTATTTTTCCCGTTGTCCTAGCAGCTAGTTTTAGAAGGCGCTCTAGAACACCAGCAGCGAAACCACGGCTTTGCATGATCCATTCTCCCCATCGCCACTGCTGCCCAAATCCATTCCCTCCTTCTAACCTGCATTCTCCCGCCGATTTCCTCGGCCCCTCCCCTCCTCCCCGGCCAGATTTCGGGATTTCGAGAGCCTGCTCGCTCGTTCCAGCTCCAATCTCTTCCTCGATTGGCGACCCGGGCGCTGGCTGGAGTCTAGACTCACCTCAATTCAGCTCGCTCGCCAGATCGCCAGGCGCATGCGCAGATCCAAAGCGGGGCGCGCACGAAATCCTCCCCCAAAACACGAATGACCTAAGGTAGGTCGCGCTCCTTCTTTCTTTGCTTTGCTTCTCCTTCTCTTTCTGGAGGAGGCAATGAATGAATGACTTGACACCCGCAAAAGAAAGGAAAAAAAAAAAAAACTTTGAAGGGGGGGAAATCTTTCGCGTTTTTGCGTTTCTTTCTTTTTTAAGAGATAGAAAGATTGTTGCTAAACTCGATCGGATCGAGAGACCATAGCATGTCGAATCGAGAAGAACACGCACTACTACACAGAAAAAAAAGGGAAGAAAAACGGAAAAAAGGGGAAAAAATTAAAGGAGTGAAACAGAGAGCATTCAATGACGACTACCTACCTCGCTTGAGCGAAATGGAGCAGAAAAAGAGAAAAAAAATGAGAAGTAAAAGCTTAAAAACAAGTTGAATCTATCAAACAATCAACGCGCATGAACAGTGAAGAATGTGTGCGGTGTTTTCTGTGAATTTGCCTTTGAATCCACCAAGAGCTGATCCTTGTCCTGGAGAGAACGCAAAGGAAGAAATCACCAAAAAATTGCTTTTGCTGCTGTTGTACTCTCCAATGCTGGTCAGATGCTCTCACCAAAAACACCAAAGGGAATTTTCAAGAGTCTGGTTTTTATTTATATATCTTTCATTTTTTTTTCAAATGGGATAAAAAAAACCAACTTTTTTATCATAGTTTTCAACCTTGGAAGTTGGAACCTTTTTTATTTCCCCCAGTTTGGTGGCCTAGAAATATCCACTCAACAGCAAAGGCAAAGCTAGCAATGGCATTTACAAACATCATCAAATCTGGTTGTTGCTGTTTGTTGTGGTTTTCTTTCCAGCTTCCAGTGCTTTTCTAAGATCAAAGATCAATCTTTCCAGCCTTGAGATTTCCAGTGCTTTTCTAAGAACAAAGATCAAGGAAATGAAAAATAAAAATTCTCGGCCTAAAGTCAAACCCGCGATTCAATGCTGAAGTTGGCTCCATTCCTCGTGCTCTATGATAATTAAATCGATGTGGTTCTTCTTTCAAACTATGTTAATTTTGACCAGCCTTTCACGACTCCATGGTCCACTTTCTATAGTTTTCTCACACGTCCAGCTCGAGTGTCACTTAAAACCTTTGAGATCGATCGAAAACTGGAAGAAGCGCGAGACTAGACAAGCTTTACACGTTTTCTCCTGTGAAATCTATGGATCTAGAGCTCGTTGGGACCACCTAAGATGGCGCTCATGTTTACAATCGCCGAGTTCCTACGTTCTTGGAGCTTCTTCTTCTTCTCGGCCTCGATCGTCGAGGAAGAAGAGAAGAGGCCAGAGAAGAGATTCCTCTTGGACTGCTGCTTCGACGAGGCTTGCTCGCTCTTGACAATGTCTTCTCCATCTTCTTCTTCCTCCTGTGCTTCCTCGCTTTCTTCCGCCGCCAAAGAGGACGAAGCGCTCGGACACTGCTCCCTATCTCCGCCGCTTTGCGGCCGCAGTGGCGAGTGATCTCGAGTGCAAACCCGGCACGTCTCGATTGACTTGAAGCAGCTGCGGTGATAAGTCGCGTTGCAAAGCTGGCAGCGGTGGACGTTCTCGTCCTGTTGTAAAGGAAATGTCAGACTCTTGTAAGCTCGCTATGACAAACTCTTTCTTGCTATTTACCTCGTAGGGATAGATTAAATCCCGTGGCGAGTCACAGACCACTCCAGCACCGCATGACTCGCCGAGCTCCAGACAAACCGAGCACTTGCGAGTGATGTGCAAAGTCAGCTTCTCCAGTGTTGCTTGCAACAATCCCGGCAAAACTGGGAAAAAGTGTTAGCAAATCCACAGAGAGAGAGAGAGAGAGAGAGAGAGAGAGAGAGAGAGAACAAACAAACAATCTTACCAGCAAATGCTCCCTTTGAAAGATCTGTGAGGTCACGTAACGCATAAAAGTCGTTTTGCTCCAGAAGATAGCGTCGCGAGCCGAGTAGCTGCTGGATCCGGCTCCGAGACGGGCAGCGGATGCATTTCACCAGCCGGCTCAACTTTCTTCTCATCTCACTTACATGAGAAAGTATGGGAGCTCTCGTGTACAGAAACGGATTGACTGCGCTGACACACAGCATGGGCTGAAGGCACGGAACAAAAATAAGTATACAACACAATGAGAAACTCTTTGACGAACCTGATCGTAAATGGAGTCGAGATAGGCCTTTGCAAGTTGAGAAACAACTCTCGGTGTGAAATCCCAAGATCGAAGAACTCGAGCCGGTAGAATGGCAGTCTCGTTGAGATGACATCGTACGCAGTAAAGCTGGCCAGTGTACTCACAGAACCTTGGCTTTCCCCACCCCAGAGATTTGATGAAACCGGAAACCACGTCCTTGGTTGGGTTGAGTTGCTCGTAACACCCAGCACAAAGATTACGTTGGTTTAACAACACCTGGTTCAAAGGCTTTTTCGTCTGTATCTGTAAAACCAGACGAATAGTCCTTCCGAAGGCACTGTTTTGTCGCTCCGGACTTATAGGTGTGCCCGGTCTCGGAGAACCAAGCTCTTTAAGCTGCATGGCGAAGTTTTGATCTCTTGCAGCCAGCTCGGGTGAGAACTGCGATGAAGCCGCCAGCATAGGCAGGCGTGTCTCCCCCGGACTAGGAAACAAAAACCTGAGTAGAGGTGCTGCCGTGCTGATCGGAACTCCAGCTTGCAGTGACGATTGGAGACAAACTTGGAGAAGAGCACTCCGAAACTCCACCGCATCCGGAGAGGTGTTCCCAAAAACCTTCCGGGACTCGGCTGTCACCTTCTGCCACGGGCTTGGAAGCTGTACTCTGGTCTGTGCACTAAACATCCTCTTGAGCTGCTGGAAAAGATCAACGAACTCCCGGTACCGTCGTTCTATTTCCCACTGATTTTCACCGCTTTTCACCTGTATCCTGTAAATGGTATGCTCCCTGACGCCCACAACTCGTTCACCCAGAGACGCACCCCCTCGTCTCTGGCGTGCTCCAGTCACTTCCACGGAGTCCACTTTCCATAGCCCATCATATACTGAAGTTGATGTTCTAGTCCATGACGACTTCGTAGGACTGTTCGCTGCACCACCTTTGCTAGCCCAAAATGAATGATTTCCACTGCTCTCACCTGTATCGAGCAGTATCTCCTCCATGTCCCAGACAGTGTCCATGTAAGTTTCTCTCACGTCAAGCGTCTCAACATAGCGCGAGAGCTGGAAAAGAAACCTCTGTCAGCCAGGCAGAGTGTCAAAATCCACACACAGATACCTCGTCGGGTCCCAAGTGATCTCTGCTCCAATCGGTACTATTGCGATAATCTTCTGTCATGGACGAGAGCCGCAAGGGACGAACGATTTCTTCTACGTCCAGCTGCAGCAAATCCTCTGCTTCTTTCGATCCCAGCCGCATCACGCATCTTTTCTTCTCAATTACGGGAGCTTCGGAAGGACCAGCTATCGTCGTGATCTTCTCGGAAACTTGATCTCCAAGTGTCTCACAGAAACTCGAAAGAACGTCTGCTTTCAAGCCACCGTCTTGTTCTTGTTCTATCGTTTCCAATTCCTGGGAACTGTTCGCCTTGTCATGGGTGCTGCCGAGGAGCGTCTCGTCACTGTCGATTTCTTTGAGCTCTACTTCACTTGGAACAACGTCTTCTTCCACAGCAACACCTTCGAGCAACTGCGACTCTTCGTCTTGGAGTTCTTCGCTCAAGGAGATTATCTTCAAACCACCAGTGTCTTCTTCATCGTCATAGAGCCCGGTACCGCGGACGATACCATCGTCACCACTGTCGCCATGATGATGAAAAAATGCCCGGTCCTTATCGGAATCGAAGCACTCGTCCAGCGCATCGACGAATGCGTCCCCAGAGCCCCCAGCATCGTGAAAGTAGGCGCTCAAATCGGAGCCCCCAAACAAAAGATCACTCTCGGGGCTGTGATACCAGCTGCGCCCGCTGCTGAAATTCGCGCTGCGGCACTGCGAATACTCCGATTTGCCCTCGGAGCTGCCATCATCCGTGGCCTCCTCCTCGGTCCGGCTAGAGAAATCTTCCGCCTCTAGAAAATCCTCGGACTTCCAGCCATGGCTGGCATTTTCCCCTAGAATCTTACCAGAAGCATCGACAGAAGAGGGATCGCCTGACGCCATTCCTGTCGGCGGCGATCGGTCCGCATCATCCGAAAGAAAAATTTCCAGCGATCGGTCATGCCAGAGCCCCGTACATTCCAGCTAGAAGAAAGAGAAATTAGGGTTCTTCGCTTTTGTTTTAGTGCCCAGTTTAATTAAAACAAACCAATCCAATCCAAGGCGCTAAACTACTCAGGGTTTTAGCGGCTAGGGTTAGGGTTTGTGGCCCAGCGGAGAAGAAAATGCTGGAGATTCACAGGCTGCGGCACTTGGATTGGATTCCCAGCGCTGTGATTGCGCTCGCGACGAGCCCGGACGGGGCGGCGATCGCCGCTGCTCGCGACAGCGGCGCAATCGAAGTATGGAAGGCAGCTCCAGGATCGGTGGGATGGTATTGCCAATTGGTAGGCTTTGCTCGCATTGCTCGCATTGCTCGTTTTGCGCCGATTTCTTATGCTCTACAGCTATCCCACAGACGATTCCAGGAATGCAGGGCGCGGCTATCTCCTGCTTAGAGTGGTGTAGCTCCAGCGTCTCGCGCCAAGGCCGATTGTTTTCTTCCGGGCTGGATGGGTTTATCACCGAGTGGGATCTGGAAAGGCTCGAAGCAAAGGTGTTTGCTCGTCTTTTGTTTTGTTTCGAAAGGGGACTGATGGTTTTCTTTCAGGCACAAACCGACTCCTTTGGAGGCTCTGTGTGGCAGGTCGCGGCTCAACCTTCGTCACAGGACGATGATTCTCGGGACATCGCTGCTGCTTGCGATGACGGGTCTGTGAGACTGTTTACCTTGAATGATAGCATGACTTATAAAAAAGCATTTCCACGAGTTAAGGGTAAAGGAACTTTGTTTTCTCTTCATTTTGTAGTTCTTAATTGATTCTTATACTTGCAGGTCGCGTTCTAAGTGTTGCGTGGTCTCTTGACGGAAAACGAGTCTACGGTGGAGGGTCCGATGGGTATGAGCTTGTTTTCTCTTGTGGCACGTCGCTGATAACCGTTTCGTGCACAGTTGCATAAGAAGCTGGGACGCTGCAACTTGTATTGAACTTTACAGAATAACAGCGGGCATTGGCGGCCAGAAAAAATTGGAAGAGTTGTGCGTTTGGTCCCTTCTCGTTCTCAGGTGTGTGCTTGATACTTCCTCGGATCTGAATACTTATTTCCATTGTTTTCCAGGAGTGGAACTCTTGTAAGCGGAGATAGTACCGGAACTACACAATTCTGGGATGAAAGGGGGATGTTACTGGAGGCTTTAACCAGGCATGACGCAGATGTTTTGGCCTTGGCTGCCGCACCTTCCCACACAGCGGTTTTCGCTGCTGGAGCTGATGGTCAGGTGTATTTCTGTTTTTTTTTTTTCCTTTTGTATTGGTTACCGTTCTCATTCTCACCAACTACAGGTCGTTATGTATCAACTTGTTCACGAGAGCTCCAGGCGTGGAAACAGTGATTTGAAAGAAGATGCTTCTGTAGGATTTGGCGACAAGTGGACGTATGTTGGCACCAAAAGGTGTCATTCTCATGATGTTAGAGCACTGACTGTTGCAATTCCGGTCCCTATTGACGCGGGTACGTATGCAGCTTTGTGGACTTTTGTGTTTCTGACTGACTTTACAGGCGATCCAACAAGTAAACCGTGGACAAGGCCTACGAGAGAACGGAACAAATGGCCAGAACCGGATCACAGAAAGTGGGCAAGGCCTGGCATTCCCATGCTTGTATCGGGTGGGAACGATGCTAAGCTGTTCGCTTATCCCGCAAATGACATGATGTCATATCAGCCTCATGACATATGTCCGGCACCGGAACGGCCCGTCGTTCAACTAGCACCAGGGCTTGCACAGGATGGAAACGTAGTTATGATGGCACAACATCCGACTTATATTGATATCTGGCGGGTTGCAAGCAGTCAATCCACAGGAAAGAGGCCAGAGGCGGAAAATGGAGTGGACTCGGATGATATCACACTCGGAAAGAGAAAGAGAAGTGATTCAACGTCCGAGGAAACGCTCAGTACTTCTTACCAACAGGATCAAGCAAGCAAGGGTGCACAGTCGGGGCAGCGTCCAGTCCTTCTAGCTAAGATAAAGTCCAAAGCGACAGCACATATTACTTGCAGCGCTTTCTCCGAGGACGGGAAATTCGTAGCGTTTTCAGACAGAACAAAGGCCAGGCTTTTTGAGCTAAAGCATGCACAAAAACAGTGGACTATCAAGAAGAAAAATCTTCCCGGCACTGTACCTCCTGCTCATCGCATGATTTTTAGTGTTGGCTCGAGCAGGTTGATAATGGCGTGTTCTCAAGGCGAGATTCTGGTAAGCTTTAGCACTCCTTTATCATTGATCTTTCTAACCTTCTCTTTTACATACAGGTGCTTGACACTGACAGTTTGGAAGTGTTGCACGTTTTTAAGCTTGCGGCAGATGATTTGCAATCTCCGGTCGCTTTGTTGTGTGCGAGTCCGGATGGACAATGGTTAGCTGCTGGATCAAGCTCAGGCAACCTGGTCATCTTGAATCTGGAAACACTGCGGTAAGCTCTGCTTTTTCCTGCTGCAGTTCAATGATGATCACATTTCTCAACAAATGTGACGAGGGTCTTGTGCCTCTGCGTTTTGAAAAAGACTTTGATCCTGAGAACTTCCTAGCAGCATCAGTTTTCTTGTCCCGTGTTTTACGTTCCTGGTGTTTGCAGGCACCACTGGTCTGTTCCGTTGTTTGACGGCACACCTGCGACGGCTGCCGTGTTCCATCCCGGAAACAATGCCGTGCTCATCGTCACCACCGCTGCAAACAAAATCCACGTCCTTGACATTGCCGCGAGGGAGCTCGGCCGCTGGTCCAAAGAGAACCACGCCAGCATTCCCTCAGAGATTCTAGAGTTCCCAGGTGGCATCTCTGGCCTGACAGTCTCTCCATCCACGGGATCCACAGAGATCATCGCGTACAGCCCAAGGTACAAACGAAAGCTCTTTCGATGTAGCTCATCAAAGACTTGTTTTTTTCACTGCAGGGCGATGTGCTTGATCGATTTCAGCAAACCCGTCGCGAAGAACGCCGTCATCGCGAATGGAAATGGAAATGGAAATGGAGCTCCTCACCTTCACCATATGGGAAACGGCCATGCCAACGGTGTCCACCACCACCACCACCGCAAGAACAAAAACTTCGTCCTCACGCCCTTCAAGAACCCGGTGCTGTTTGTGGGATACGTTGCAAAGAGCTCACTTTTGATAGTGGAGCGGCCATGGCTGGAAGTTTTAAACCACTTCCAAGCTCCTGTATACCGGCACCGCTATGGAACGTAAGTGTAATAACCGAATATGCTTTTGGGAAAGACAGAATATGCTCCAGGCCAGCTAGAATATGCTCTTGGGGAACCAGAATATGCGCAAGACCTACACGTGGTAAATTAAATCGGATATTCTGTGAGAGGCCACGTAGCACAATGTGTCTTCACTAGAATCTCTTTAGCGATTTGACTTCTACACAAGTGGGCGGGAAATCTCGCATTAAGCAATGCAGTGAAGGCGCTCGCTAGGGTTCCTCGATTTCTCGTGTATCTGGTCCAAAGATGAGCTCCCTCGCGGCTATGGCGCTGCCAATCCATCGCTGCTGCGTCGAGGCCGTGGAGGCGTCGGATTTGGCATCGTGCAGCGGTAGATTCGCGCACAGGAGCTCCAAATGGAGGAGGGGGAGGGGCGGCGCCGCCGCCGCCGCCGCTCACAGAGGTACTAAGCAGCGATTGTTGTGCAGCTCAATGCTCGATACATGGCGAGATTCAAGAGATGCTTCCAGAGTCTTGTGGCATGCGGTGTGGGATATTTCCACGGGGCAAGGGCATGTCCCCGTGGTTGTGGATGAGATTGCCGGGCAGTACGAAGATAGCTACGAGGACGTCGATAAGGTGAGAATCTCGTGGATGTTCTTGGATGATCTCTTACAACGTTTCTTCTTTCGATGCAGCATCTCATGGACTACTTCACATTCAAGGCTGTGAGAACCGTGCTGGCGCAATTGTATGAAATGAATCCCAGCCAATACATCTGGTTCTATAAGTAAGTTTCATGCTTGGATTTCTCCTCTATAGCACTCTGTTCTAAAGGCGAAGTTTCTCAGCTTCGTTGGGAATAACAAACCACAGGATAGCAAAGTTTTCATCCGGCTCTTAGTCAAGGTAGAGAAAACAAGAACTCTTTCCTTTCCATTCTAACTTTGTGGCATTTTTCTCGTCTCGCAGGAGCGCCAGGAGCTTGCCGAGAGAGTGATGGTCACTCGCTTACACTTGTTTGGAAAATGGGTGAAGGTGAGAAGCCATAACTCCACGCCAGCAATTCTTTGTTTGATCGATCTCTTGTCGCAGAAATACAGCCACGAGAACATGTATAACGCAATCTCCGACCAAAATTTGGAGCTGCTGCGAGAGCGTTTGATGCAAACCGTGAAGCTCCCATCAGACGGGGAGGAATTCACGAAAACGTAAATTCCACCACTCGCGGGAATCCTGGATACTGTTCCTGGAGAGATTCCATTCGTACGAATCTTCCCCCATCGTATGTACGGAGATTAAACATGAAAGAAATATTTTTCCTTGTTTCGCCCTTTAGCGTTTGAGTGCGCTTTGGTGCTTAGCTAGGGTTCTTGCGCGGTCGCCATGGATCGGCGAGCGCGAATTCTCGTCTTGTACGCGTCGCAGACTGGTAATGCCGAGGATGTAGCTGAGCGGATTGGCCGCGAGGCCGCGCGCCGCGCCTATCTTCCCCAAGTGATGAGTATGGATCGCTACGATCCGGTAAGGACTAATCTCGCCTAGAATTTCTCATGGATTCGTCTTCTATAATCCTCAGCGGCAGCTCGCATCCGAAAATGCTGTGATTTTTGTGGCATCGACGACCGGGCAAGGGGATAAGCCAGACACTATGAAGGTTTGGTTTTTTTCTTTAGCTCCAATTTGTTTTGATTTGAGCTCTTCTCGATTTTGTAGAGGTTTTGGAAATTTTTGCTGAATAGCTCTCTGAGTAAGAGGTGGCTAGAGAATGTGAATTACGCTGTTTTCGGACTCGGTGACTCGGGGTACCAGAAGTTTAACGTAAGCGACCATCGCTTTTCTTCGATTCCTTAAAGTCATGGCTTTCTCTCTATCTATCTTTGCAGTTCGTCGCTTTGAAACTTGATCGAAGATTGGCGGACCTCGGAGCAAAGTCTATAGTTTATAGAGGGCTGGGGGATGACCAGCATCGTTCTGGGTAAGTTCTATTCGCAAGTTTTAAGTTTTTAAGGCAACTGTGATTTTTAGATACGAAGGAGCATTGGACCCATGGCTCACTTCTTTGTGGTCCGCCGTGCGTGGAATTTATGGTAGAGAAGAAGCGAGCGAACCCGCTAATGATACAGCTTGGCAGCTTGATCCTCCCAAGTATAAAATAGTTTATCACCAGCCTCACATCTCATCTGTTGCAGAAGGCTATAGCACAGGTTTTCTTTTTTCATTTAGTTCATGAGCTTTAACTAACTAGGAAGACAGATGTGCAGAGAAAATGGATTGAGCACGACCGAGCACGGACCATGATAGAAGTTGCCAGTGGCTCCTTCAATCCGCCAATTGCCGATGACAAAAACTTTGGTCGGGTTCCCAACAATCCCGTCTTTGCACAAGTGGTTAGTAACAGCTTTTAGTTCTCTTAGATTACTTTCTACCGCGGACGCTTCTTTCTTGCAGATTAAAAACATGAGGCTGACCGACACAAGCCACGAACAGGATGTTCGACACTTGGAATTCGACCTTGGTGGTTCTGTACGTTGGGAGTTCGTGTCCTAATCAGCTAATGCTACTGTTACAGGGACTAGAGTACGCTCCCGGTGACGTGCTTGGAGTTTTTCCAGCTCAAAGTGAGGAAGCTGTCTCCAGGTTTATGGAAAGATGCGGGTTGGATGAACCTGCACTCGTTTCGGTTAGAAACTGGAGTTAATATAGATGTGCCATCTCAAGACTCTTATTGATTTTCTCAGGTTGAACCAGCAAACGCTGTAGAAGGTTATCAAAATGTTGCTCCTGTCACACTGAGGACGCTTGTTGAGGCCGTGATGGACGTTAGTTCCGCGTCTCCCCGTCGCTACTTCTTTGAGGTATGTATGTTTGTCGATGAACAAAAGAAGCTAAGAAAACCTTTGTTTTCCCCGTCTGCTCTAGGTGATGATGCATTTTGCTGAAGCAGAGCACGAGAAGGAAAGACTGCAATACTTTGCGACGTCCGAGGGAAGGGATGATCTTTACAACTACAACCAACGAGAGAGACGCACAGTAACCGAGGTTAGCTCTGGATCTGATTTCACCATAACGTAGCTGCCTGCTCGGCTTCTCTTTCAGGTGCTCGAGGATTTTCCTTCTGTCCGGCTTCCACTGGAATGGCTTGTGCAGCTTGTTCCGCGCCTTCGACCTCGATACTTCTCCATCTCGTCGTCTCTCAAAGCGCATCCCAATGAGATCCATCTCACAATGGCCGTGGTGCAGTGGACAACTCCCTTCAAACGGAAAAGGCAAGGCCTGTGCTCCACTTGGCTGGCCCAACTCGATTCCAAAACAGGTACCACAGCCTCTCACATTTTTCACAAGAGCTCAGTTCCTCGTTTCCCAGGTGTAGTTCCAGTATGGGTGACGAAAGGAATCCTCAAGCTTCCTCGTCCTTCGGTACCGCTGATACTCGTCGGTCCGGGAACCGGCTGTGCTCCATTCCGAGCCTTCATCGAGGAGAGAGCCGCGATCGCTGCAAGCCAGCCAGTAGCTCCAATCCTCTTCTTCTTCGGATGCCGCTACAGCGCAAAGGATTTCCTCTACAAGGAACAGTGGCAGGCTTTCGCCCAAGATCGAGGCGTGCTCTCGCAGGAAAATGGCGGTGGCTTCTTCGTCGCATTCTCCAGAGACCAGCCGAGAAAGATCTACGTCCAGCACAGGATTCGCGAGCAGAGCAAGCTGGTTTACAAGCTGATCGAAGATGGGGCAGCGATCTTCGTCAGTGGCTCCGCCGATAAGATGCCGGCGGACGTAGCGCAAGCTTTCGACGAGATCGCTGCCGAGATGGGCGATCCTCGAGCGGCGCCTAAGAAGCTAGAAGCTCTCGGGAGATATGTAGTGGAAGTTTGGACGTGAATGAGCTAGGAGGAATATTCGAGAGAAAATTAGGGTTCTTCCGACGAAAATTAGGGTTCTTCTAGGGGATATGGCGGACAGGAAGATTTCTTCACAGGACTGGGAGCAGATATTTCAGGATTTCCGGGGCTCGAGCGATGCTCGCGGGCGATGGCTGTCGTTCTACACGCCCGCGGGGCTCGTGGAGCAGGCATTGCAAGCGGTGGGATCCAAGAAGGATTTTGCGCTCAAGCTCCAGACGCTCGCGTTTCTGGATGAGAATGCGGCGCTGCTCGTGGCGGACGATGCCGCGGCACTGGATCTACTGCTGGACACGCTGCGATCCACGCTCCAGGCCCCATCTTCCGCCGATGGGAACTCCTCCTCGTCCTCGATCAAGGAGCAGATGATGGTCACTGTGACGTCCACCATGGTGAGCATCGATGCGATCGGCAGCTCGCCGCGCAGCCTGGAGATTCTGGTGGAGATGCTGCTCGTCTTCATCAATCGGCCAAACCATTCCAGCGAGCGCCATCTCCGAGCCACTGCGTGTGAGTGTCTACGCGAGCTAGAAAAGGACTATCCCTGCCTTCTCCATTCCAGCGCTGGCCATCTCCTAGCGCTGTGCCAGAGCGAGCGGACTCACGCGGGCCAAGCTTACACGCTCCTTCTCACCAGCGTTCTTCGCAACATAGCACTCTACATGCCTCTTCTACGATCTTTCTACGCTGGTACGTACTCCATCCTCTTCACCACCGTGCCTTTGATCCCATTCTCAATCTCGCCATTCCTCAGCAGTGTTTCTTCTCGCTCCTCGTCACCCGCAGTTTTTTCCTCGTCCAAGGATTTCTCCGAGGAATGCATGAAAGAGTTTCGTAGAGTGATATCTTTCCTCCTCGAGAAGCCGAGTCTCTTAACCGAGTGTGGGGTGGCCGAGTTTATATCCGATGTGTGTCGCACAGCCAGCTGCTTGGACTTGCAACCCAGCTTGCTCAAGATCCAGTTCTGGAACCTCTTGCATTCTTTCAGTCCGATCTCCTGCCATGGCTTTCTCACCATCCTTGCTCGCTTCCCTGATGCTTTCGAAGGAGAAGAGTCGATCGTATACAAGCGTCTTGTGTTGTTCTCGAGAGAGCTCTCTCAGCCGCTCACTGTTCGTCTCCTGGCCATACACTGGCTGCTGGGCGTCGAGAACTTGGTCACCTCCAGAGGCAGGGAAGGTGTTCTTCCGCTGGTGGCGAAGTCACTCTACCCGGAAGCTTTTGATCCGCTCTCGCTCAAGGCCGCAAAGCTGGAGTGCCTCGCTCGCTTTGCAGTGGTTTTCGACAGGCAGCAGCGAGAAGGCTCTTCCGAGAACTTTGTCCGCGTCATGGTCCAGGAAGATGCGACGGACATGGCCAGCAAGCTCTTGAAGGACGGACTGGTGTGCTTGTCATCTTACAAGTGGCTTCCTCCGAGCAGCACAGAGACGAGGCTGCTGTTCCGGACACTTCACAGGTTTTTGGTTTCCGGATACGAGCATTCTTCAAAGGTGGTGGCGGTGTTGGAAGATGGTGAAGCTCTGGTGGACTCTTTGCTCTTCAGGTCTCTACAGGATCACCTCGTCAGAATGGCTAGAACTGTGAGGAAACTCGTGGATAGAATCCTCGCTCTGCTGGACAGGTTTCTAAGCTGTGAGGCTCATCACGGCCTCGGTGAGCGGCTCTTGAGAACTTTCAGTGAGGATCTGGTCCCTGCTCTTCCTTCGAATTCGCAGCTCCCGGCCTACTTTCCGTTGATGGAGAGGATTGCAGAGAGTGGCAAGATTCCTCCCAGAGCGCTCATCAAATCCCTCGAAACTTATCTCAGGTTCAAGGTTGGCAAGCACTCTGGGATTAACGCTGCGAATTACTGGCTCCGAGGAAGCGAGGTTCTGGCCATCTGCCGAACTCTGCTTATGCATCACCAGAGCTCGAGAGTTTTTCGCCGGCTGACAGAGCTCTTTGGATATCTGTGCCTCTACTTTCCAGACATCGAGGTTCGAGACAATGCAAGGTAATCTTTTATCTTTTGCTCATGTGAAAGTGTTAAGAGTTCTCTCGGGTTTGTCTCAGGTTCTACCTCCGGATGCTGATATCAATCCCAGGAAATCGTCTGCGGGAAATACTTACGTACGGAGAAAGCCAGACAGAAGATTCAAAGCCACAGCTGCTGCATGTGTCCTCGTTTCTGGGATCGCCATCGCCTCGAGTCTACCTGGGAAAGAAGGCGTCCATACAGGTCTCGTCCTTTATCCATCTCACCCGAGAGACTCCACTGCTGGTGCGAAGCTCGTGGTCTCTGGTGCTGCACGATACTTTCCAGCCCATTCTGGAGCCTGTCACGGCAGAAGATCAGAAGCCGACAGCAGCAGAACCAGGTAGTAGCCTCATCGCAATAACCGACGACGAAGTTCCTGGCGACTCGGATCATCCAACTTCGGACAATGTGCTGCGTATGATGGATGCAAAGACTGCGGATACTCTCGCAGTTCTTCGAAGGCACTTCTCCGGGGTCTCGGAATCGGGTGTGAAGATCCAGGTGGTTTGCCGGTTGAAAGTGAAGTCACTGGAAGCAGCAACAGATAACGTGGACGCACAAAACTTGGCTGCCATATATGCTGCGGTCATCAGCTTCTCGACAAGTGGCTTGTATGGGCCTATACCGCTAGTCCGTGTTCCATTCCTCCTGAGCGAGCCTTCACACAAGCCAAAGTCTTCGGTGACGAGTCCGACCGCCAGTACCACGTCCGAAGGAACCGAACGAAGAGTTAAGTTTCTGGAGCCGCCGCGATCAAGCCATCCCGAGGAGCAAACAGTCGAAGCACACAAGTTTGGCAAGGTGGTGACGATCGTGCTGGAGCCCCAGCAGCCGGTTCCAACTTTGGTCGACTGCCACATTGCTTTCACGGACGAGGACGCTCAGACCGTTCACGGGCAACTGGACAGCATTCCAGTCGGCATCGAGGACCTGTTCATGAAGCCGACGGTGCCGGCGAGCGTCTCCAACGAGCCGGAGTATCTCCTGAGCCTGTTCAACGCGCTGTGGTATGGGTGTAGCGGACCAGGGAAGCTCGGGACGGAGATCTTTCTCTTGAAGGATGGAAAGCAGGGGCTGGGCTTGCAGGGCTCGGAGTCCGTCAAGCTCCTGGAAGCTCAAGCGGACAGAGTTTTCTCGGCCGTGGAGAACTACTTGGCTGGTTTCGTGGTGTCCGTGAGCGGGACTTCTCTCAAGGAGATGGCGAGATACAGTGGAAAGTTTGACAAGAGCTGCTGGATCGAGGAGCCGTCTTGCTCGAGGAGCTCCTCGAGCGCTTCTTCGCAAACCGAGCTTGACAAAGTCGACGATCACGAGCAGCAGCAGCAGCAGCAGCTCTTGGATCATCCTCACCACGATCCATTCTCTCTGGAGAGCGATTTGCTGCTCGCGAGCGAAGAGTCCGCCGGCGGAGAAGAGCTCGGCTGCTTCATGGTGCTCGTTTTCCTTCCTCCAAGGTACCATTTGCTCTTGAGAATGGAGGTCTCGGATTGGTCTACCTTGATTCGCATTAGAACAGACTACTGGCCGAGCCTAGCTCACGTTGACGAATTCCTCGAATCGTTCGTTATCCCGAGAACAAAGATGGATTTCTAGAGCGCTCCACATTTTTTGGAATAAAAAAGAGGGCAGAGAAGATTTAGGGTTTGTCCTTTTTCCAGCCTTTTTGGGTTTAGGGTTTGGGAGGAATATCCCCGAATATTCACCGATTGGCGTCGACAAGGACGACTTTTTGTGGCTATGGAACTTTACTCCGCCGCCGACGCCCGTGATTCATCCGAATCAGCTGTATGGGATCCTTGTGCCGCTCTGCTCACCTGCATACGCCGCCGCTGGACATCATGTGTCCCGTCGACGATGGCTTCGTGGTGGTGGATTGGCTGGGATTCGAGACAGGCTTCCAAGCCAACCCTGGGGTCGAAGACGTGCAAACAGCAGTTGACACCAGGATGGTTCTTAGAGCTGCCATTGATCCCATCTTTCTTAGCGGACAAGTTTCGCAAGGTGGTGACGATCGCCGTGTCTCATTCTCTGAAAGCATATGAGCATATCTTCCAAGAAAAAAAAGAAAAGGCTACTAACCAGTGATTGCCGCTGTCCAAGCCGGTCCGCAAGCAATGCAAGGCCTCGACAATAGCCGGCTCTTTCCCGTTTTCCAAGTCCCATGACCAAGTTGGCCATTTCCACCATATCCCCATGTAATCACTTTCCCGTCCTCTAAGTGAAAGAAGTAGAATGTTACTTACCAAGAAGAAAAAACCAAGGTAAGAACTTACGAGTGAGAGCAGCGGCATGGAATCCACCACAAGCTACTTGCACTAGAGTCACATCTTCCAGAGCGGCTACAACCTTGGGCTTCCAGTTATTCGCTCTCGTTCCATGGCCAAGCTCATGGTTTGCATTCCCTGAACTTGAATCATCACTCTTCTCCCAGCTTTCAGGAAAAGAAAAATACCTCCCCAGGACCATAATTGACCCGACTTAGTGAGAGCCATTGTGATAAATCCCCCGCAATAAACCGAGGCGATGAGAACGTCTATCGCTTGGACCTTCGTCGGCCTGCTCAATGCACCTTCGTCCATGATGTCCGGATTTCCATGCCCGAGCCTTCCTTCACCCTCGTCTCTCCCCCATGTGTAAAGCTCGCTTTTACAGAAGAAAGAAGAAGAAGAAAACAATGAGACTTCCTCAAGAAAAAAAGAGAACTTTGCTTGCCACTTTCCGTGACTGCGGCCCTGGCCGAAACGTGAACTATCCTGTCTTTCCACGGGCCTCCAACAATCAGCTCTCGCTCGTATGATCCATGGCCTAGAGCACCAAAAGCCCCTGCAAGCTTTGGCATCAACACATCTCAAACGCAAGAACAAAAAATAAAAACCAAGGATGATCTCACGTACCATGTATACACATTTCCAACCTCCGTGAGAGCGATGTTGTGCAATCCTCCAGCGCTCCCCATTTGGACCTCTTGATCCTGTTATTCACGGAAGGCTTGTACTGGTTAAACTCCGTGTCTATGCCCAGCCTTCCAGCATCGCCCTTCCCCCACACAAAAACATCCTGCTCGGCAAAGAGCACCGAATGGAAGAGCCCGCAAGTCACTCCAACGTTTCCCAGCCGGGGCTTGGCCTTCTCCACAAAGAGCGATGGATCCAAGGCAGGCTAAATGTAAGAGACGAGAGACAAGCTCTTTTTCTGCTTTCGCGAAGGCCAAAAGACTACTTGTTTTCTCCAGGAAAGCACAGCGTTGCTCGATGTAAGCCTTGGAATATAAATCGATAAGCGCGCGCATGCGTCGGATGAGACGGTTGGAAAACGACAGGCGGAGCGACTGCTATATAAGATCGCCGCCCCCGGCTGCCATACTCCTGCTAACAGTGCTTTTTCTTCTGGCTTTCCCGAGCTGTTGTTTTAGTGCGGAATTCCAAAATAAGAAATTATTTCCATAGCTTATATAAAATGCCATTGCCTTTTTGGGTTAGGTATACTTTCCAGAACAGGAAGAGAGCATTAAAGGCGAGCAAGTGAAATATGTTTGAGGTGGACAAAGTAGTGCGTACGCGGGAAATGGTAGCTAGTGATCATGGATTGCAGGCTTTTACTGACGGATCCTTCAAGCACGGAATTTTCGGAGGTTATGGCGTGTTTATCCCGAGAGTTTCTATGCGACTTGCTTGCGGGAGAAGGGCAAACGATAATTTATACACAAGCTCCACCATCACGTTTGAGCTCCTGGGTTTGTTACGAGCCCTCGAAATCTGTTTGGAGATGGAATGGCACTGGGGTTTGTGGGAGCCAATCTTTATATACACAGACAGTTATGATTCCCTGACGCTGCTGGAGATGTATGTGCAAGACCCAATAGCCTTGAGTCGCCACCCAAATGCAGATATTATTCAAAAGATTGTTTGGGTTGCAGGAACATCATTTGTTCCAGTTCATTTTTGTAAGGTGAAGGGGCACTATGACATTGCTGGAAATCAGGTTGCAGATGAGTTAGCAAAGATTGGTGCACATCTATTTCCAGGACACTCACAGCTTATGGATGCTGTGGCTGAGTTACAGTATGATCAACAGCAAAGCTATTCACGGCCTCAACAACTTGCAATTTATTAAAAAAACAAAAAAAAGAAAAACGTTAGCCAAATTTTGTTTGTGAAACGGGGACTAAAAGTTTCTAAATGTTAATTTCCTTAAGCATTAAAGTGAAACAGTAGCCCTTCAAACTTTAAACGATGGAAAATGAATTTTCCATGCTCAACTGGAGTTGCACTCCTGGAATGGTATCCAGAGGAGCATCTGGTAGGATTTATTGCCGCGGAGTTACATTCTAATTGCCTCATGCTTCGGCAGCCTCGTGTGTGGCATTCATGGAGGTGACATAAACGACGACGACGCCCGATTAGCCAGGTCGCACGGGTTTCCAACTTGAGCACCAGTTCACTCTGCGAGTCTGTACACCGTTTATACTTGGAACTCGAGCCGCCAAGTCTGGGTGTCTTCAACTAGCAGCAGCTGACTGACAGGAGATCTAGCTGGGGAGCTCATCTTTCGGGGTAGCAAGTTGCAAGCTTATGACATTCACTCTTCAGAAAAACTGGTCCGCAATTCCAATTCCAGGTGAAGTTTGGAACGACTTTCTGCTGCCACTAGATGATTGTCTGCATCATCTCGCAAATCTCTTTCAGTCAGCATGCATTGAAGGGTGTTCAAGGAACACTAGCAGATTGGTGGAAGCAAGAGGAAGAGTCGGACATCATCAACCAAATTGATCTGGATTGCATCGTGTTCTGGACAGTTAGTCAAAATAAATGAAGGTGATGTTTTTGCTAAGGTATCTAAAAGTCAATGAAAGTCAATAAAGCGTCAACAGAAAGTCAATGAAATCAATGCTGGCGATTTCGACGGTTGCGATTCGCCACATTCCATTATGGAATGCTCTGCGTCGATGGACGGCCCAGATCTCCGCTAGAAAGCTTCTTTAGTTTATTGCTACAGCTCGCTCGATAACGACGCGGCAACAGGATCGCGACGAGCCACAGTGTCTAGCATTCTCTTTTGAGGCGCCAGCGCTAAGATTAAAAGATTTTCTCGTCCACTGGGCCATCGATCAATCGCCGCCGCGGCAGCGCGCATTCCATCGAGGTGAGCTGGAAATCCATCGCTGCCAGGGTTCTTATCCCCTTCCTCGCTAGGGATCCTCCATTTCGAGGCCCCAATGCAGCTCCTCCACGCGATTAGGGCTCTCGGACAACGCATTTCCGCTCGGCATTGGAGCTCGCGTCGATGATACTCCGGCGGCGATGGATCGCAGCTCCTCCTTTCCAGCTCGCAAGCTGGAGCACGATTCCGGCGGCGACGCGGCGGGGGCGCCATCGCTGGAGCACTGGCTGGTGGGATTTTGCACCATCAGGTTCGATTTAGAACAGGGACAGGTTGTGGAGGAATGCTACCCGGCCGGGGCTTTGAGCCAGGAGGAAGAGCTCGACGTGGCCTTCAGCTCCTTTCCAGACTCCATGGCCAACTCTCGAGCAAGCAAAGATTTTGGAGTGCACGACACAGTCTTCTTCTTTCGGACGCAACGACGTGGGTTGCCACTCGAGAACTCCATCTCTAGACGCAGCAGCTTGACAAGATCCACTTCCACGCTACCTTTCAAGGCCGACGATCAGGAGGGCGCTAGACTTTCGATCGACTCGGAGGTTCTCAAGAAGAAGAGCAACGAGAAGAGCGTCGGCGTGAATGGGACGACGATCAATGGTCTCGGCAAAGGTGGCCAGAAGTATCTCTACGGCTTCGTCTTCAACAGGCAGAGATACGACGCAAAGCTCAAGCGAGGTGGCGAGCAAAAGTCGGTGCTGGTTCTGTCCGAGCTGCCGCTTTACTGCGTCTTTAAGCCGCTGGTGGAGCTCCTGGGGCCGCTCTACTTTGAGAGCGGTGTGGCGGCGCTCGAGCAGGCCGCGCTACACATGTCTCGCTGGCCGCGGCCGAGGTTTGGGACGATGATGGAACTCATGCTCGGGAAAGTTGTGATCAAGTCACATCTTCCACCGCTTCACACGCTTCCGCCGGGGCCTGGAGCTTCCAGGGACGGGTTTACGAGCGCCATGGCTCCCGTGTCGCCGTCGAACAGGTCGGTTCCTCAGAGTATCTTCCACGACGTGAACCTCTACGGAGTTTTCAAGGGGCTCTTGGGGCATCTCTGGACGCTTTGGGAGCTGCTGTTGATAGGAGAGCCGCTGCTGGTGATCTCTCCCACGCCTTCTCAGTGCTGCGAGGCTGTTGCGGGGTTGATCAGCTTGATCGCGCCTCTGCCATGCAGCGTCGACTTTCGGCCGTACTTCACGATCCACGATCCGGGCTTCGCGTCGCTCAACTCATGCACGGAGGAGGACAGGATACCGCCGATGATCCTCGGCGTCACCAACGTTTTCTTCCTCAAGGCGCTCAAGATGTTTCCTCACGTCCTCTCGGTGGGAGCTTGCGGGAGCTTGGACAGGAAGAAGGTGGCAGGCAAAGCAACGTCGCAGGGTCGTCTCCAAAAGCAGATACAGCTCGTGAGGCGGCTCTATCCAGCGAACTTGCTCGCCAGGAAAGAAGGACCGCTGTGCCTGATGGGAGAGCACAGGGAAGCGCTGTGGACGACGCACAGCCCCGCGACCAAGGGAGATGTCCAGGTTCTAAACAGGCTGGTGAACGCAGAGCCATCACTTTGCATCGAAGAATCGACCTCAGTCGTCAACAATGACGCCTTGAGGCGGCATTTCCTGGAGCTCACCACAAACTTCCTGGCACCATTCGGTCCTTACTTGCGAGCGAGCACTCCCCAGGAAGGAATCTCGCCGTTCTTGGGGCCGCCGCCACTTCCACCGTTTGATGCGTTGACGTTCCTGGAAGCTTTGGCCGGAAGAGGTCCCGGGAAGTTTTTGTCCAAGCGGTCGAACACACACTGGCTCAATCTCTACAGGTTAGCTTACCTGTTGTAGTTTTTCTCCATGGTTTCTCTAAGAGATTCGTGCGTGCTTTTGGCAGGCAATTCTTGGAAGGACCGAACTTCATGCCTTGGTTCCAGAGAAGACGAGCTGTTGCCGAGCAAGAGCAACACCGTCTGTGGCGAGACGCCTGCAACAAAGCGGACGTTCGCGTGTTCCTCCGGAAGATGACGGAGGTGGAAGTCGTCGATTCGTTCAACGCTGTGGAGAGGCACCTCGCGGAAGAAATCGAGGTCAGAAACAATCGCAGCACGATTGGTTTTGGATCAACCATCCTTGGATTGTTTCTACGCAGGTTTCCAGAGAGAGCGGCATCGACTTTAACAAGACTAATGCGTTTGAGAAGATTACCGGCGATCTAAAAGCCATTTTCGAGTTCCTGCCGAAAGATCTCCAGGAGCTCATGTACCTGAATCCCCAGCGAGCAAAATTCCTTCACTTATAACACAGGATCAAATCGATCAAAGCGATGGAAGAAAGAAAGTAGTAAAAAGAGAAGAGATCGTTCACTTTTTCCAAGTGGGGATCACCATAGAATACACAGAATGGACAGTGCATTGGATTATATCAGCAAAGTCTCTGGTGATTGCTCACATAGCTTTCACATATACAAACCAACACCATATAGAGTAGAGCCCCCCAATCTCTCTTCTTTTTTTTTTTGTGATTTTTCCGTGTCCTTGTTTGCTCTCCACTCAGCTATAGCTACATACCCCCACCACCACTTAGAAACCGTGTATCTTGATTAGATCCTTCTTGACCACTCCGGCTTGGACGAGGAACTGCGACACATTCTTGCGCTGATCGCCCTGTAGCTGAATCACCTGACCCAGCTCCGGATCTTGCACCACGGTGCCGTTGCAGCAGAATTCCTGCCAAACAATCGTCGCCCACGACGAGATTTAGAGCCAATTCGAGCCAATTCGATCGAGAGAAGAGGGGAATTCGCTCTAGTCTGAGAGGGGAAAGAGGGCGATGGATCTCTCTTACCTTTTTGAAGTCCTTGAGGATCTTGTTGTAATTAAACTCCTTGCGCAGGCCTTGGACGGTGGTCAAGCTCTTGCGGCCATTTCGCTGCTGGACTCTCACATGGACGTATTCCGCGGATCCAACACCACCGGATTCCTCAGCATTCGCTTCGGCAAAGGGATCTGGCAGACAAATCCGTGAGAAAGATGGGGAGAATCAACCTAATTGGGCGGGGCGAAGAGAATTGGGGGTTGGGGATTTCTTCCTCGATCCTCAGATCCTTACCGTAGGCGCCAGGAATCTGGATGTCAGCCTCAGACATGAACTTGATCTACTGTTGTTCTTGCCGCCGCTCACGATTGAATCTAAGGCGCTTCGCTTCCCACAAACAACGAAGGGGCACGAACTGGAAAACCCTAGAAGACGGGTATCACATATATTATATTCTACCCTGCGACGTGGCGGCCGGCAAGTGGCTGGCGTTAGATTCCAAGGGTTTAGGGTTCTTCGACGCGCTTGTATGGCGGTGAGCGATGCGCCTGGCGGGAATGCGGGGGATCGTCGCGATTTCCTCGAGCGGAGCGATGGCGCTGCGGCGGCGCTCCGGCACGGCTGCTGGGAATCCCGGGAGCGCTGGTGGGACGGATGATCCTCAGGGTTCCAGGCAGGAAATCGATCTCTTGTGGCGGCCAGAGGAGAGAAGCATTGTGTTGCCTCACCTGGATCGGAGGAATATGGAATATCAGGATAAGCTGGAGCTCGTTTGGGACAAGGTGCGTGACGTTCCTGGGCATAGAGTTTCTTCCTACATTAACTGGCTCGTGGATATGGGAGAGATTGATTCCAAACCCATGGTTTTGTCGATCATCCGTAAGCTGACCAAGCGGCAAAAATACAAGACGGCTCTAGATGTAAGTTCTTCTCGTTTTGTTTTTCTTTGCAAGAGCTAAGGAGGAATTTTTTTTCTTTTGTTTCGAATGTAAAGGTTGGAAATTGGCTGCTCTTCCAGAAAGCTTTCGAGATCGATGATCGAGACTATGTCCTCCAAGTGGATTACTACGCGCACGTCGATATGTATCTAGCCGAGATGGCGTTTAACAGGCTTCCTGACGACAAGAAGACCGAGGAAGCTTACAACTATATACTGGCCGGGTTTGTGAGGAACAGGATGCTCGAGAAGGCTGTGGTAGTCATGGACAAGATCAGAGAGCTGGGCCTCGTCTCTGCATTCTCGTTGGAACAGATGACGCTGCTCTTCCATTATCTGGGGCTCGAGCGTAGAATCCCAGCGTTGGTGGTAGAAGCAAGGTCGCTCGGTCTTCACTTTCATCCGCATTTCCTCAACACTCACCTGTGGATCAAACGTCGGCATGGCGATCTTTCTGGGATGGAGGAGATTGTCGAGGAGCTAGAGCTCATGGGAAGGTCCAACGCATGGACTTATATCTTTATTGCCTCGGCGTACATCCAAGCTGGTTTGCCCGAGAAGGCTCACGCAGCACTCGGAGCAGCTGAGGCAGGAATTAGAAATGGCCGCTTCAAGAAACAACGCAAGGTGTACAACAAAATTCTCCTCCTCTACGGCCTTTTGAAAGACACGGAAGGGATCGAAAGAGTGTGGGGAATACTCAACAGCAGGCCTCTCGTAGCGGTGCACAACCATCTTTTCATGATCGAGGCTCTTGGAAGCGCCGGAAACATTGGAAGAGCTGAGGAGATCTTTGAAGAACTAAGAAAGTGTCGTGGAGTACGTAAGGAGTACAGGCAGTTTATCGTCATGGCTGGAGCTTATACCAAGAACGGGCTCATGGACAAGGCAACCGAAGTACTCTATGACTATCCGGCAAAATACAAAGCTCGACCGGTCCCTGAGCTCTACCACTACTTTATCAAGGGTTATATCAAGCGAAACGAGAAGGACTGGGCCATCGAGGCGTACGAAGAAGGCCAAAGCCTCGTCCGGTACAGGTCTACCAAGCTGTGGTATGAAACCATGCTGGAAGTTATGAGCATTTATGCGGAGAGGGGTGATGTTACCAGTGCTCTGGCGATGTTTAAGCACTGCAAGGCTTGCAAGCACAGGGATATCCGGATGTTTACACTCTTGTTCAAGACTTACGTGGTGGCCAAAGAACCTGCTCATGGCTTGATCAAGAGAATGGTTATGCTGGGATTCGAGCCAAACGACGAGATCCGGGAACTTATACTAGAGCTCAAGCCCATAAGGAAACAGTTCGAGGAGGACCGGTTTGAGAGGAAAGTCTTTGGAAAGCCACACTTGCAATGGTTAAGATGGGAAGATGATGCGGTCAAGAGGAGATGGTTTGGAAGAGGACCGCGCAGGAAAGTTAGACAGCTGCTTAGGAAAGTTAATCGGTACTATAAAAGGAAGAAGAGGGTCTGGAGCACGGAAGTTCACGATGACCCCAGCCTGGACTAGTGTACGCGGGGAAGTTAAAGATTTCTCTTGTCGTCCTGGTAACATGAGGTGAGAATGTGGCCTCCGATTTATTTGGTGCGGCAGAAAGACTGTGACGAACGGACAGTGCTACTTTAATTTTGAGGAACGGAGGAAAAGCGGTATAAAGTGAGGAATTTTTTCAACTGATTTTTCGGGAGGAGGAGGATGGGTGAGGCGGCACAGAGCTCTCCAGGGGAGCTTGTCTGTGTTACTGGAGCGAATGGTTTCTTGGCTTCGTGCCTCGTCAAGTGTCTGCTGGAGCGAGGATACTATGTTCGAGCCACTGTTCGAGATCTCGGTCTGTACTTTTTCTTTTGCTTCCTGGAAGACTATCGCCTGATATCATGATCACAGGAAATGCTGACAAGGTGTCTCACTTGCTGCGTCTTCCTGGAGCGTCGGAAAGGCTGGAGCTGCGAGAAGCCGACTTGCTAACCGAGGGTAGCTTCGATGACGTTGTGAGAGGCTGCCGAAGAGTTTTCCATACAGCTTCGCCAGTTACTGCTTTCACTGTCGATCCAGAGGTAGTGCATCAGCTCTCCGTCTTCACACGAGTTTATTCATGCTTTTTGTTTTCTCCCAGCTGGAGATGATTGCGCCGGCAGTGAATGGCACACTGAACGTCTTAAAGTCGTGTGCGAAATCTCCTTCAGTCCGGCGTGTTGTGCTGACTTCTTCGACGTCGGCGATTCGTTTCATGCCTGAGATGCCGTCCAACTCAGTCCTTGACGATACCTCTTGGAGTTCGGAAGACTTTTGCAGGAAATACAAGGTCTGTGGCTCAAAGTTTTATCTTGCTGCTAGATCTTTTCATGTTTCACAGATGTGGTACTACCTGGCGAAGACCGTTGCCGAGAGAAAAGCGTGGGAATTCGCCGAGAAAAACAACCTCGATCTTGTCACGGTGCTTCCAAGCTTCGTAGTCGGTCCGGTGCTCCCGAAGAACTTAAGCAGCACCGCTCTGGACGTGCTTGGCTTACTCAAAGGCACGGTTTGTTTCATTTTCATTTTCTTTTCCGTCTATGACATCAGATCTTCTCTTTGATCCAGGCGACGTTAAGAAGTTCTCGATCTACCCAAGGATGGGCTACGTCCACGTCGAAGACGTTGCTCTCGCTCACATCCTCGTGATGGAGGCTCCTGGAGCTCGAGGCCGCTACATATGTTCCTCCACAGTGATGGACAACGACAAGCTCGGCGAGCTCCTCGCGATGAGGTACCCGCAGTTCAATGTCCCCACCAAGTAAGTCCTTTGATCACTCGAATCTCGATCTTAAGTTTGAGTTTTCGCCTCGTCCTCCAGGTTTCCAGAGTCATACAAATCGAAATACTACACACTAGACACATCCAAACTCGAGAAACTTGGGCTCAAGTTTAGATCGGTGGAGGACATGTTTGACGACTGCCTAGAGAACTTTTATCATCGGGGCTTGTTCTCCTTGACTGACACACTCTATTGATATAGAAATATCAATGGTAAAAAGCTAAGATTAAAAGTGATAGTGGCGACGGTTGGAATGACGTGGCGCGGGCGCGCCGGCTGAATGTTCCCGCGAAAACCTAGCCCTAATTTTTTCGAAAATGCCGTGGCCGAGGGATCGATGGGAAACATCAGCTGCTTCGCGAGCGGGCCCAGAAGTAAAGAAACCTCTCCAGATCGAGTCGAGGCGCGCGTGAGCTCAATTTCTTTCTTGCTAGGGGATTTCTAGTGACGTTCACGGAGAGGAGGCGCGCGAGATGCCGATACTCGGGCGCCATGGACAAGGAGGCCGCCGAGATCACGCGAGACAAGTTCTTGGCATTGTTTGGCCCAGGTACTCTTGGATCTCGATTTTCCCCCTCCCCTCGATCCAATCCTGGTCGATTCTTGCAGGGAATCAATGCATCGAGAGGCTATTTGTCGTGGTGGACAAGGACAAGAGCGGCAAGATCAGCTTCAGGGAGATTTGCGACGCCGTGATGACAAACAGGACGATGAATGCGGGTGTCATGGGCTCTTCCCGGCTTGATGGTCAGTGAATTTCTCCCAAATCTCTTCGCATATTGATGGTGTGTTCTTGGCAGTTCTTTTCAAGTTTTACGACAAAGACGCGGATGGCAAGCTCTCCAAGTATGAAGTTGCGGATGCCATGCTTCTAGCAAACGATCAGCTTCTCCAGCCCCAGATCACCCAGGTAACTGATGAGAAATTTGGATCATCTCCAGCAATTTTCTTGTGATTTCGATCGCAGCTGGTGCAAACTATCTTTGGCGCGTACGACGAGGACAGAGATTCTCATCTCAATTTCAGGGAATTCTCCAATCTGATGAAAGCCGCTGGAATCGACTGATCAAATTCGGGAAGAAACTAGGGCTTTTTGAAAATTTGAAATCCAAAGATATGGCTAAGTTTTTGCCCTTTGTTCTGGTGACGTGTCCACGCGCTCGAAGAACCCTAAAAAGAGGGGCCATTTAGGTTTGTAGATTCGTGGCAGGGGAAATTAGATCGCCAGAGCTAGTGGCGCGGCATCGCCATCATGTTTACCCGATTCTTTGGCAAGCCCAAGCAGGAGGCAGCTGCGACCACAGTAGCGACGCTCGACAAGCTCAATGAGGTAAGAGAATTTTGTGGCTCTCGGGTTTGGGGGGTTTCTCATCAATTCGATCCCGGCAGACGCTCGAGATGCTCGAGAAGAAGGAGCGAGTGCTGCAGAAGAAGATCGCGGCGGAGGTGGAGAGGGCGAAAGGATTCACTCGGGAGAAGAACAAAAAGGGTTTGTGTCCTTTAGTTTAATTTTTCTTCTGTCAACAGTATGTTGTGTGTAGGTGCTATTGCGTGCTTGAAGAGAAAGAAGCTCTACGAGATTCAAGTAGAGCAACTTGGGAACTTCCAGCTTCGCATTCACGATCAGGTAGAGTGGATCTTCAAAATGGTTTTTTTTCGTGACGAAACTCCCAAGGTTTTTGTGCTTTGTCTGGACAGATGATTATGCTCGAGGGTGCTAAAGCCACTACCGAAACCGTCGACGCGCTGAGAAGTGGGGCTCATGCCATGAAACAAATACAAGCAGAGACGTAAGTTCTCGTACTCTTCCCAGTTTTCTCTTATCCTTTCTGTGGTTTTCTTCTCCAGAAACATTGATGACGTAGACAAGACCATGGACGAGATCAACGAACAGACAGACAACATGAAGCAAATCCAAGAAGCGTTGTCTTCGCCATTCGGAGGCACAGACTTCGACGAGGTAAGCGAGCTCAATCCAGATGCGATCCATCTCATGTTATCTAAACAACACAACTTTCCAGGATGAATTGGAGCAAGAGCTGGAAGATCTGGAAGGCCTGGAACTGGAGGAGGAACTCCTCAAGCCAGCGACCACGGCTCCAGCGACACAGCTCCCAGCAGCTCCAGCGCGTCCGGCGCAACCAGCTCGCCAGCGAGCTCCAGCACAAAAGCAAAGCACCGCCGAGGACGACGAGCTTGCTGCCTTGCAAGCCGAGATGGCCTTGTGAAAATCCAAGCCAGCTTTGTGTATATAGAGTACACACACCAACATATCCCTACAGGTGATTGATTTCCTCGAGCGAAGAAAGGCCGTGCTTTTCTATTTTCTATCGAAGGCCCGGGAGAGCGAAAGGCAGTGCTACTACTGTATAGAAGACTCGTTTGTTTGTTTTCAAGTTAAATAAGGATATTCTTCTCGACTAGTCTAGTTTATTCCAAGTTTTAGGGTTCTTAGATTTGGCGATGAGGGCGTTGGATCGTCGCGACGAGGAAGCATCGCAGTGTAATAGCTCCTGCCTCCGGCGCTATGGCGCGATTAAAGACATTCCATGTAGATGCAAGGAGTTCTTGGATGTGCGTGTTTGATTCACGCTCTGTTTGCAGGGCGAGTGTACTGCAAGAAGGGGTGCGGTAGCGGCGGCGAGAGCTGGGATGAATGTGAGTGCTGGCATTCCCATCGCGGGACGATATTTCGGAAGAATATTGAGATTTTCAGCTGTTCTTGCCTTGATCTGGTTTCGTTTCGATCGATCGCAGGTATCGAGAATTGCCGGGCGCTGTGTCACAAGGATCCGATCTACAAGGGCGAGAAGTTTGAATGGACCGCGGCGCTTGACCGATCCCCCGGCAATAAGTTCCAATCTCGGGTAATAGCCAGATTTTCGATCCATCGATGTCTCAATCTTCTTCTTTCTGGCTGAATAGAGATGCGACAAGGCGTGCTTGAGAGGATGTGCTTCCAAGGTTAGCGTGCAAGCAAACACTCACTCGATCAAACACCATTTCTTCTTAAATCTCTCCATCGCAGTTCCATGTCACGGATGAGATGCTGGCGAACAGGATTCCAGCGAAGATAGCGCGCGATCGTCGCGCCTGGAGGTGGGAACCACGGTACTCGTTTGATCCTTCGCTCTGGACCTCGGCTTGATAGAACAGAGAAATCCATGTAAGCGTTTCGAACTTGAGACGCTTTTTTACTTGACAATCCTCTCTCTTCTTTTGTTTAGGCGCCAGAGATGAGTGATGATACTGAGGAGATGGGCATTTCCTCCTCACTCCTGCGAGCTGGAAAGAGCTCTACTCCAGCATCTAGAGAGACACAAGGACAAGGTAATAGATGTGTATGGTTTTGCGGGCTTGATCCAAGCTTGCAGCAGGTCGGGATCGCCGAGGGCGGCCAAGCAGCTCGAGGCGGAGATCACTCGCCGGGGATTCAGAGGGAACAAGTCTCTTGGAAACCATCTCATCAACTTGTATGGGCGACTGGGCTGCGTGCGCGACGCAGCTGCGGCCTTCGATGGCATCGAAGAGAAGAATGTGGTGTCGTTCAATGCGATGATCACAGCGTATGCCCAGAACGGGCATTCCAGGCAGGGACTGGGCCTCTTTCGGAAGCTGCTGCTGCTGGACTCCAAGGTGGCAAACATCGTCAGCTTTATCTCGGTGATCAAGTCGTGCTGTAACGAGAGGCTCGAAGAGTGCAGATGGATCCACGGGCTGGTCGACGAAGCTGGACTGTCTACCTCGAACATCGTCGTTGGGACGGCTCTCATCAACATGTACGCTGTCTGTGGCAGCGTGGCTGACGCCGAGGCTGTCTTCGGTTCCATGGAAAGCAGGAATGAGATCACTTGGAGTGCTCTCATCGCAGCTCATGCAGCCGTTCCAGGACACGCTTGTCAGATCTGGGACATCTTCCGGGCCATGGAGAACAGTGGCGTGGTTCCCAACGAAGTCACTTTCATCAGCATGCTCTCATCGTGCACTGTTGCCGAAGATCTATCTGTTGGCAGACTGATCCACGAAGCTGCGGACAAGTATGGATATGGATCAGATGTTGTCGTCGGCAATTCGGTGCTGAACATGTACGGGAAGTGCGGAGATGTGGACCGAGCAAGGCAGCTCTTCGACGAGATGGGTGACAAGCACGCGGCTCCGGTTGCCTGGAACTCGCTGATGGGAGCATACACGCAGACTAGGAACTTTGTCCTGGCCGTGGAGCTTTTCAGCCTCATGCAGCTGGAAGGCGTCATTGCCAACAAGGTGACTTTTCTCGCTGCTCTCAACGCTTGCGCGGGCCTGGCCGAGATGACTGCTGGTAAGACTGTCGTCGACTGCGTGGTTGAGTGTGGGTTGTTTGGAGATGATTTGGTTAAGACTGCATTGGTGAGCTTGTTTGGGAAGTGCGGGTATTTGGATGTTGCTGAGAGCGTGCTTGGTGAGATTTTGGTCCCGGACTCAGTTTCATGGAACTCGATTGTTGCAGCGTATGCTTCCCAGCAGGGACACGACCAGGACGTGCTGAGAGGATTCCACCTTATGCATTCGCACGGCTTGATCCCCGAGGATGGAGTCTTTGTAGCTGCACTGAACGCTTGCTCCAACTTGGGAGCGCTCAAGCAAGGCAAGCTCGTGCACTACTTGGTCCGGGAGACCGGTGTCGAATCCACCGACGTCTTCACCGCTCTGGTAAACATGTATGGCAAATGTGGGGAGCTTCTAACTGCCAGGGAGATTTTCAGCAGCATGCCGGACGAGTTCCGGGATGCTCTCACCTGGAACGGGCTGATCAACGCGCACACGCAGCATGGCAAACCGGAGGAAGCTTTGAGTTTCTACCGGAGAATGCAGCAGGAGGGCACCCGACCGAGAAAGAGCGTATTCGTCTCGGTGCTCAACGCAGTGGCTGCACTTGGATCGTCCGTGGAAGGCCGCAGAATCCACGAACAGGTTGCCGAATGCTCGCTTGATCTGGACTCCACAGTGGGAACTTTGCTGGTAAACATGTACGCCAAGAGTGGAGACGTAGACACCGCCTGGGAGATCTTCGAGAGGATGCAGCACTCAGACACGGTCACCTGGAACTCCATGCTAGGGGCGTGCATCCAACAGAGACCGCGTTCTTCAGAGGCTCCACACGAGCAGCAGGAAAACGAAGCCGTGGTCGTCAGGCTCTTCGCCCGGATGCTACTGGAAGGGATAAGAGTGGACAGAGTGACGCTGCTCACCATGCTCTCGGCCTGTGCCTCGCACGCCAGCCTCTCGCACGGCAAGAAGCTTCACGGCCTCGTCTCCGAGCTCAACCTCTCGCTGGAATCCGACACAGGCCTCTTCAACGCGCTGGTCACCATGTACTCGCGGTGTGGAAGCTGGGAAGTCTCGCAAGCGATGTTCCACGCGATGGGCTCGTGCCACGGCGACTTGATCACCTGGAACTCGATGATCACGGCGTGTGCCCGGCACGGACAGGCGCTCCAGGCGGTGGAACTGGTGAGAGGGATGGAACAAGCAGGGTGGTCGCCGGACAAGGTGACGCTCACGGTGATACTCTCGGCGTGTAGTCACGCGGGGCTGCTAGACAAGGCGTACGAGTGCTTCCAGCTGATGCGGGGCGAGTATGAGATTGATCCGGGGCCGGATCACTACGGCAGCATTGTGGATCTGCTGTGCCGGGCTGGGAAGCTCGGGGAGGCCGAGGCGCTGATCGAGAAGCTCCCAGATCCGGCCAGCGCCGTGACATGGAGGAGCTTGCTTGGGGGATGTAGCAACCATGGAGATTTGGTGCTTGGGAGACGAGCTGCCGACGAGTTGTTTGGGATGGATCCCAGGCACCACACCACCTATGTCATGCTCTCCAACACTTACTGTGGCTGAAACAAAGATACCAAGGGTTGACTGGCCGCTGCCATTTAGTCAACTATACGGGTTGACTCCCGGTAACTCCCCATGGTAAACATCGTGATGGTTTCTCGTTCGAGCAGTGCCCGACCACACCTGGAACTTTTGCGTCACGTCGCTGTGCATGGCCAGCCCCCAGTCGAAGTCCCAAGTCGTGATCAAACCGAAGCGCATGTCGTTGAATCTCATGTAACAGAGAAGTCGCAGGGAGTTGAGACGCTCGTTTGGGCTGGCGATCACAGTTCCTCGGCTGACAAAGCGGGCAAAAACTCCGGTGATTCTACACACAGCCGTCTTCCGCCATTAGTGCGACCTCGGGCAATCCCAGCTTGGGCCTGTAGCGATGGCAGGAAGCAGTATTCACCGAGACGATATGGCACAGCCGTCGTCCCACAACCATCTTCGATTTGGGCGCAGCAGTGCTTGCTGCAAGGTGTAGCCTCCGCCACCCAAAGACGATAGATGCTTCTCAAACCTATAGAGCGTTGTCGTCGTTCAAAGCTCGCCACACGCTTGCATGGTGAAGAACAAGATCCTGCTCGTGAACGCTCACGATTGGATCGCTTGAAGTGTCATACTCTAGATCAGATTCCAGAAATTCCAAGTAGAAACTAACCATACCTTTTATTTATCCCATAAAGGTTTTGTTGCACAGCCTACATGTAAGTTCTTCCTCTAAATCTCTCCTAGAAACTTTCCTAGAACCAAGCTCCCTTTCTCCCCTCAGCGTAGACTCAAACTCTTGCAGCTGCTTGATAAATCCATCGTTGGGACGAACACACTTCCGACACGCGAGCAAGCTCTCGAGCGCCTCATCGAAGCTACACCCTTCCTTCCACATCAAATACGCAATCACCACGGATGCGCTGCGAGACCGACCGCCAACGCAGTGGACGAGCACCATGCCCTGCTCGATGCCCTCGTCGATAAACTCAAGACACTCTTGCAGCACCGGGAGTATGTCCTGGTCCTCCTTGTCCAGCAAGGGGACTATCTTGCGCACTGGCGGCTTGCCCACCATAGCTGGGCAGAGTTTCTCGAGCTTGGATTCCACGGCCTGGAACTTGCGGAGGCGATGCGGCGGCACCGTGTCGATGAAGTTACACTGTGGGTGGAGGCACACCGGTGCCAGTGAGAGGACGTGAGTGAATCCTTGCATGATCCCGCATAGATAGATCCCCGCGTCGTCGGCGTTGCTGATGTAAAGCCTCTCGCGAACTTGCTTCATTCCTTTTTGGCTGTGATCCCTGACCTAAGAAAACGGGAGTTTATATTTCTAATCTATGTATAAATATGTGCCGTCAAAGATTCAAAATACGCTGTTGAAAGCTCAAACGAATGATGGACTTTGATTCCACGAGGAAGGAACAAGGCGGCGTATGGAAGATGCAGGCTAAATCCTGGTCTTGCAAGTGAAGATCTTCCCTTGGCAAACGAGACCCGTCCAAACCAGATTCTCGTGGATGTAGCCTGGCCCAAAAGCGTTGATACGTGGGCCTGGCCTTTTGTCTGGTCAACGTGAAGGAGATGGACGTGCAAATTTGCTGAGACCATGTTGTTCCAGGACGCTGACTGGCATTGTGTGGAACAAGATTTGAGCTTTTGCAAGTCCCTGTGCATAAATCCTCATCAATTTGCGGTTAGGAAAGAGCTTTTGATGGCGGAATTTCAATTGCAAAGCTCACAACATATGCCCAGAACAGAGCAGGCATCTTAGGACGAAACTGGCTCTCTTTCAAATTGCCGGCTTTATGTCATCCCAATACTTACGAATCTGCTTAAGAGAACCCACTCTTTTGTCTTTTTGACGTTTCCACGGTCCACAGTGTGTTTTGCACAAGGTATCAAAACACTCCAGGCATTGTGTTTAATTATCTTGTCTATCTAAAAAGCATTCGGCTGGCCGAATGGCTTTCACATGAGACCAAGCATGTCGCGTGCAATCGCCCAGCCTCGCATTTCCTTTTGAACCTCAGTGCTGCAGCAAAGGCTGACCACGAGGAGCTAGTGGACATCGTCAAATTGAAAGAAGGCGTCCCGGTTCCAAGAGTGATTAGGGGACAACCTTGTCATTCAAAACACGAGAAGACAAATCTCTCTCTCTCTCTCTCTCTCTCACACAGCACCAGCATCTTCCACCAAAAAACCCAATGGATTCCCTTCATACACTAGTCTCAAATGGCTGCGAGGATTCATAGCAATACCACCGTAGAGAATTGTCCTATGGACGTCTGCTACCAGTGAGCATACATACCTTGCCGAGTACTTCTTTGGAAACTGGCCTTTGCCTCTTCTAATATCATCAATGTAGCGTCGGAGTCCTTGAGGCCAATCGAAATACCTTGCATCGTTCACGGAATAGATTTGTCCTGAGAGAGGATAGCCTCAAAGTTAGCAAGCTTTTCTCCAAGGTCTAACGTACCTCTCTCGGGAACTTTAACGTCGGGCTTGAGACACACAGAGAGAGAGAGAGAGAGAGACAACAGGCCCTAAAAACCATTTACCTTAAATAGAGAGAGAGAAGCAAATAAACCATTTATAAATATAAAATTACAGAAGATGTAACATTCTTTAAATATTCTCAAACAATTACAGCAAACATTTTATCCATCTAGACTGTTATTCCACTGAAACGCTTCAGGAAGACTGTATCCCCAACCTGGAGCTGGATCAGCGGAAGGTAGATGTTCTATGTCCTCAAAGCCAGAAAACATGATATTGTCCAGTTGCTCCTTGTGGTCTGCCTCCTCATCCGCTCGAATTGTCCCCTTGTCGTCGTTTTGATCGTCCTCGGCCACAACCTGAAGCTCCGAGGGGCTCATTTCCGAATCAGAACAGCTCTCTCCTTTTTGAACATCGAGAGAACATCCAGGACTGTTCTTGTTGTAGGCTCCACTCCCGCTTTTCCTATAGATCTTGCAAAGTGTAAATTCGTTCTGCACACACATACCATTGAAACAATCAGCAAGATGGAGGAACTCTCGACTACAGCACCTTGAACTGCGCGTTTTGCTCGTCCGGGAGCCTATATTCGCTCATGATCCATGGAGTCTTCTCTCCTTTCGGTGCCTTGCCTTTGTAGAACACGAGGGTTTTTCTCAATCCAATGCTGGTGTTGTTCTCCTTGTCCATGACTGGCTTGTCAGTTCCAGTAGCCTTCCAGTAGCCCGATGGGGTCACTCGGTTTGGCCTGGACCCATTCGGGTACTTGTGCTGCCTTGGCACGAAGAAATACCACTCGGTGTCTCCCATGTGTGCGAGAGAAATCGCCAGGCCTGAAGTCCAAGGGAGACAATTGTTTAGAATTCGAAGGATATCGTCACTGGAGCAGCAGTAGCAAGAGTAACAATGCAAGAGCAAAAAAGCAAGAGCACAAAAGGAAAAGCAAGAGCAAAAAAGGAAGCAAGAGAGCTCACCAGGCAACTCCCATGGATCGTGCTTGACCAGGTCGATAACCGCAATGAGTTCCACTCCCAATTCCTTCTCCTCGGCCAATTTCCTCAAGTAGTATCCAACGAGCTCGTACTCCGTGGGTGAAAATCGAAATCCCGGCAATTTCTCCATTACTGCAACTCGTCTCCCCAGCCTCATCCTCTCCAGCCTCGACAGAAAAACACTGAGCATATAAATATGGAGGAAATTCGTGTATTGGGGATATTCTCAGCTCTAGACGGTCAATAGACTTTCAACAAAACTGGAGATGCCATTGCGACATGCATGCGTTGGACCACTTTGAATAGATGCACCCCTCATCGCTGTCCCCATTACGTCTAGAAATTTGCCGAACGCTCGTCAGTCATAGTCTTAGGTCTCCATCGTCAAGGTTTCTACATTCATCCTGACCAAGCCCCGTTCAAACTTGGATTTTCAAAGTTTAGTCACGGGGATGTATCGAAAGTGCTCCTGGCTATGAAGCTTCCCGATCCAATTGTATCAGACAAGATTTTCTTCAAGTTCAGTTACCTGTACTTCTAAGCCACGATTACGAACGTCTCTATTACAACAAGGACAAGAATGAATGCAAAAAGCTCGAGTCGTCATTCAGAGCGGGGACCGATCCAAATCACTAGCCCTTGGAAAAGGAAAAGGAATGGCGCAAGCATGAACTATAAAGGGGGGGTAGCCTATAAGAAACTATAAAGATTTTGCTTGGAACATTATAGAAAAGAATTTTACAAAGACGTACCCGACCGTGGGGTCCAAATACTTGCGTTTCACGAGACGAAGTTTGGACTACACTTTGCCGCCCGTGTCCAAGTTTTGTCATTTGGACAACCAGGCCGGTCATTACAACACATTCTGAACATAAAAACCAGAGAAAAACATCATTCCAATTAAAGAAGAAGAAAAAACAAAATTAGAAATAATCAGCGTTTGCAAAACCCGTGGGATATTTGTCGAGTATTCCCAGAAGCCATCGCAACAAAATTGCCCCCTTTCTCATCACATGGTTCGATGTGTCACGTAGGTGATACTGCTCAATCAAAATGCTACGAGTCAGTTCCCCCTCCGCATTCTCATCTCTTTTGCTTAATTCTGCAAGGTGGAGCACTAAGTCGTAAACGAGTCCCAAGATGAGAAAAGAATACGCACGCACACGCATCACACGCTAAGCAAAGAGAAACAAGCTCACGAAGTAGCTGCACCCCGTACCTGAAGCAGTGGATGCCTAGCGAGCCCGTGATCTCGCGTATGACGCTAACAGCAAAGTGCATGTACAGTGCCACTGCAGAGAAAACACCAAAAGTTCTATCAACAGAGCGAGATAAAGGCCATCTCACTTGTGTATGCACAGTAGACAAGGAGCAAAAGGAACTCGTCGAATAAAGGTTTCCTGGACAAAAGCGAAATCTCAGGCCAGAGAAAAAAACAAGTTTATGAATGTCATACCCTCCAAGGACTTTAGATGAGAGCGCATTGGCGATGGCAAGTGGCAGGAGAACTAACGACTGCTCAACAATAACAGCAGACGTTATCATTTTCTCCGAAAGCAGTCACAAGATACATACCAGGCACATGCCCGTCTTTAGTCCTTTGGGCTCATCACAGAGATGCGACAGGATCATCCTTCCCTGCCATAATTTGAAGACAAAGACAAAATGATGATCAACGAATTAAGCTCGCGCATCGCTTACCACCAAGTACCCGAACGCAAAACCCGAACCCAATAGCATGAGATGTGGCTGGGTGCGAAGCACATCAGTAGGTGACAGCCAACCCCTAAAACAAGCTTGTCAGTAGTGAAAAAACAAAAACAAAAGGAAACTGGCTTTACCATATCACAATGCTTCCAAGAAGCACAAAGAACGGCACCAGCTGGAAAGGGACAGTCTCAGCGTCAGTAATAGACTTACAAAACCAGGGCGCATTACCATGGCCAATGCTCGCAGCATGCTTCCTTTACGCGCGTGAACAACTTTGTAGACATTGATCACGCTACAAAGAAGGTCAGACGATGGAAATGAGTGAGATTGTTCATAAACAAATAAATGCTTACTTAGACAGAATGGTTGGCAAAACAGCAACTGGTAGCATTAACCATATGATAAAAACGTTCACCGGCATGTCTAAGAATCAAATCAATTCATTAGTTTCACAAGACAAGAAACCAGAAAATCAACTAACCAGGAAGTAGCGGTAGACCACGCAGGAACGGTATGGCTTCTCTAAAGTTGTGCTGCCACCAAACAGGGCCTGAAATGAGAAATACTATTAGATTTTAAGACATAGATAGCAAGGCCCGTACCAACAAGAGATGTGAAAAAATGAATCAGATAGATCAACATGAGACCCTCAGTGGGGCCATTGACTTCAGGAAGAATCAAAGTATTTGTGAAGTAGCTGTAACTCAGATTAAACCGGCTGTTAAATAGAGAAACTAGAAACGTACTGCTCCCAGGTAGCCATGTAAAAAGGAACAGTTGCTATGGCCCAGAACCAGAGAGTATGCGATCCACTCATAACAGAAGCACCGAAAGCCATCGTTTCGAACTAGGAAAAACAATATGAATCGACAGGTTAATACAAAAAAGGTTGGCATACCGCACAAGAGAGGGCATCGCAGCCTGGCAGAATGTGTTAGTCATTAAACTTCAGCACAGATAAATTACAGCATACCATGGTCAAACAATTCTCCAAGAGGACTGGAAGAATTGGTTCGCCTCGCCTGTTTACCGTCTACCGCATCAAACGTCTGCGGAAGCAAAGCCTTTCGTTGCAAACTCAATTTGCTTTCACAGCTCACCTGGTAAAGAAACAAAAGCAGCCCATGGAGGAAGTGCACCCATTTGGGACTGGGGGAGTCCATGTGAGGAGAGTACACCTTAACGCAGCACGCACAAACATTAGAGATCTAAACAAGAACGCAAAAACCTCAAACAAAAACGTGGAGAACTTACATAGCTCAGGAACGCCGATGCCACCACGAGAAGAAATCCAGACAAGGTAATCTGTCCACATTACATATAAATCGTCCACGAAAGAAAATCAACCAAAAAACACGAACCATGTTCGGTCTGTGCAAAATAAAAGGACAAAAGAATAAAAAACGTTTCTCTAGAAAGGTTAACAAAGCGAGAAAAACTCACGGCATCCAGAGTGGGAACAAGTTGACAAATCGCGACCAGAAGGGCTGGAACACGTACTTGGCCATGTAAGATTTGTCCACGCCGCTGTACTTATATCTGTGCAGTGCTTCCAGGCCATGCTTGCCGATGTATCGACCTCCGTTTAGCTCAACCCTGGAGAAAACACACAAATCAGACCACAATCCCCAGCAATGCCGCGGATTACACTCACATCGTGCTCGAAATCGCGAATCCAATGCGCCGGAGAGCCGATCCGGGGCTAGCGCATTGCTGCCGAGAAGCAGCGCCAAGCCCAGCGATCGAAGAACCCTAGCTCAAAACCCTCTAGAAGAAAGCGCGCTCCCAGGGAATATTTTAATGTCCGGTAGATGCCAGGAATATTACCTCCGTGCTGTTCGAGAGCATTGTTCCCCCTCTCTCACGCCCAGCGATGGCGCGCGTTGTGAATGTGGACGAGTATGAAGATCTAGCTAGGGTTAAGATGCCGAAGATGTACTACGATTTCTACGCGGGCGGCGCCGAGGACAAGTGGACGCTGCGCGAGAATCGCAGCGCCTTCTCGAGGATCAGGTAAGATTTCGACGAGGGATTCTTGGGGATTGGCTTGGCGCTCTCATCAGTCCCGTGCTTCTCCAGGATCCGGCCGCAAGTTCTTGTGGATGTCAGCCACACGGATCTCACAACCTCGGTTCTCGGATTGAAGATTGCTTGTCCGATCATGGTCGCCCCGACCGCATTGCACAAGCTCGCGCATCCCGAGGGTAAATTCATCGAGGTTTTTACGCGGTGCTTTTACCATATTACGCTGCGTTTTTACTATATTACTACTTTCAGGAGAATTAGCTACTGCAAGAGCTACTGCTGCCGCAAATACTGTCATGGTGAGTGAAGAGATCGATCACGCTTCACGCTTCGAGCCAAGACTTTTTTGGCAGATAACTTTCAAAGGTTTTCTCATTTCTTCTTCTTCTTCTTCTTTTTGCTAAGGTTGTATCGACATCTTCAAGTCACACCATTGAGGAGATCGCGGACACAGGTCCTGGAATTCGATTCTTTCAGTTGTATGTAAGTCTTCTCTGGATTTAAAACTCACACTGTTTCTAAAAGCTTCTGTGTTCCAGATATTCAACAAGGTTAGAGCTATGGAGCTCGTTGCTCGAGCGGAGAAGGCTGGCTACAAAGCCATTGTTCTCACCGTTGATACTCCAATTCTTGGAAGAAGAGAGGATGATTTACGAAACAGGTAACTCGAAACAAGCGTTACAGAAGCCAGCTTGTGATTTTTAAGTGTCGGAGCAGACTAGTTTTGCCACCAGATGTGAGTATGAAGCTAATTGACGGCATTGGCGAGCAACATTCTCAGGTATATCTTTACTTTCCAGCATTTCCGAGCCTTTTCTTTTGGTTTTCTTCTTGCAGCCAACGGAACCGGGCTCTTCTCTTGCCGCCGTCGCATCCGAGTACAAAGACAAATCCATCACTTGGAAGGTGACTCATTGGATTCAGTTTTCCATCTAACATTGTAATGGATACATTTTTGTGAAGGATGTCCAAGCTTTCATGAAGCTAACGAAACTCCCATTCTTGCTCAAGGGGATACTCACCAAAGAAGACGGTACTGAGTTTGCCTCCGGCTCTTTTCTGTGTTGACTATGAGTTTCTTTGTGCTGTTTGTTTTCAGCTCTGAAGGCTATCGACATCTGTGTCGACGGGATCATTGTTTCCAACCACGGTGGCAGGCAGCTAGATCACGTCCCAGCAACGATCTCTGTGCTTGAAGAGGTGGCAATCACTAGAAACAGTTGTTACGTAATTCGGTTGCTCTTGACAGACTTTTTTGGAGTGACAGGTGGTAGCAGCAGCCGCTGGTCGGTGTCCTGTCTTCGTCGATGGAGGCATTAGACGAGGCACGGATGTTTTCAAAGCGCTCGCTCTCGGTGCTAGTGGAGTTTTCGTAAGTTTTCATGTGTTCTTGTGGCTTTCAGGAGCAATTGTGACATGGTGTGGTGATTTCTCTCAGGTTGGGAGGCCCGTCCTGTTCGGTCTGGCCATCGATGGCGAGCAAGGCGTGAAGAAAGTGCTAGACATGCTCAAGGACGAGCTGAGAACCACCATGGTAATTGCTGGCTGCCCAACACTCGCTCATATAAATCGATCGAGCGTCCAAACGCCAGAGGAGAAACCATCCAGCAAGCTCTAGCAATCAAGCAAGAAAAACGCTGCTCAAAGTCACTGCCATTTTTTTCTGTTGAAAATTTGGATTGTGTGACAAACAAACTTTGTGCGTGATCTTCTCACGTCACTTGTGCGGCGTCTCCCACACAAAGTTTCTCTTCTCGCAGTCCTCAAACATGTTGATCCGCCATGGAACCTGCGCGATGATCTTGTCACGCACCACTGCGAAGCTCACCTGATCGCGCGGCGTGAATCTGTCGAGCTCGTTGAACCACAGGCACGAGAAGAGATTGGTGAGCGGCGTGTGCTCCCTCAGCACCGCGCAGCTGTCCGGGACATCGCTCACCAGCGGCATCCTGGCGGCGCGGTCATACGGAAGGAGCCCATCGTGCGTACGGTAGAACTCCATCTGCGCGTCCATCTTGGCCTTGCTCTCGTACCTCCGGTACCGGATCGTTGCCTCGGCCTCCTCGAAAGCGTCCGCGCGCTCGAAATGGTTGGAGATGGCCATGGTGTCGCCGCTCCTCCACAGGAACCTCTCCAGGATCTGGATGGGATCCGCCACCATCTGGAGCTTGGCGTCGATCCAGATGGAGAAGCGCGCGTTGGGGACGAGCCTGTGCAGTAGCATCTTTGGAATCTCGCCCTTGGATCGGTTGTCTCCCTCGTATGCGTCGCTTCGTACGAGGATGATCCTCCACGCCCCGGCTGGAGTTCCTTCCACCTGGAGAGATTCCAGCGTCTTGTCGTCGACGAACATTGCGAAGCAAACCGTCCTGGCGCTGGTGCTGCTCAGGTTCGCGGGAGGCTTGAGCACGTCATAGTTGCCGAAGATCGCGGATGCGACCACGATTCCCCTGCATTCTCGGAGATAATCCATGTCGGCCTCCTCCTGGATCTCGAATCCGGAGCCCTCTCTCCCTGGCTCCACTCCGGCCCTGGCGAATCCACACGGAATTGCCATCGACTCTCTGATCTTGAAGGACCTCTCGCGCTCTTCCAGGCTGAAATTCCCGCCAAATGGTGTGGAGTTCGTCGAGCCTGCGCGGTGGAGATAAGTGAGCGTGGAGAGCACGAGTTCTGGGAAGATCCCTTGTAGGGGCAGCGCTTTCAGCGCCTGATCCACTGGAACGTAGCACACCGGGCAATTGCAAAGCCAGCAGGGAGCGCGAGAGGGATTTGGAAAAGATCTGCAGGGATGGCCTTGAGGTAGCGGTGGATCTTTGAAATTCGCGGGCGGGAAAACGCGAAGAACTGGACGGCTGCTAAAGAGTATCATGCGCTGTATGACGGCTCCATCGTTTATGACACTCCATGATACCCACAAAGCAACGATCAAACAACAAACAACAAGAAATCTTGCAAGGGGCCTCTCCATGTTAAGTACTCCTCTTCTTGAAGGTGTGTGCAGTCCCTCTTTTCCATGTCCATGCATTAAAACTTTACGCTAAGCAATGGAGAGATTTTCCTCCACTGTACTAGTCACGTTTTCATGTCAATCTCCGCCTACACATGGAAGCACATAGAGGAACTGCCGCTTGGCATATTCTATTGCCAACTCGGAATAGTTATTATATTAATGAAGTGTTTTTACATAATTCACTAAGATTGATTTGGTGTTTTCTTACCATTTATAAATTACATTTACATAATTCATTACGATTGATTCACTTTTTTCTTACCATTTATAAACTTTTATATGACGAAAATTATGTGATTAACTTGTATCCAGTTTTAAATTTTGTATACATATATCTAAATGTTGATGTATTATTTCTATCTAACAAGTTTCGATTATATAACGAACATATGATTTGAGAGGATCAGTCATCCCATGAACCAAGATTTTCTGAATGGCCAGTGACATTTGAAGAATTTCTATAAGATTATCATCTTGTATTTTTTAATCAAAATTATTATAGATTAATTGATACAATTATTAAAAAAATATATATGTATACTTTAGAATCATACTCCTTATTTGCATCACATATTCCAATTTAAAAATATCTAGTTATATTTATTGTAGATACTCTAGATAGATAGACTAAATCTAGAGCACTCTAAATGGAGGGTTAAGTTTGTTATAGCAAAGAGGTGGTGAGATTTAATGCATCTACTTGATCTGGATAGGAGTAGTGATTGATCTGGTTATTTTATTTTATTTTATTCATATTGTTCGTTTGGTGAGATACTAGAAAAGATATGTTCTGATCATTAAGAACAGTTTGAACCAACTATGTTCTAGCACATATAAGCACAGCTATTTTCTATTATCTCACCAAAAATGAAATAAAATTACCAAATAGATCACTACTCCTCTCCCGATTAAGTAGATGCATAAAATCTCGCCATTTTTTTGCCACATGTAACAATCTTAACCCCCCATTTAGAGTGCTCTAGATTTAGTTTATATGATCCAGAGCATCTACAATAAATAAAACTTGATATTCTTAAACTGGAACATTAATGCCAAAAAAAGCAACTTTAAATAAGGAGTATGATTCTAAAATATACATATATAGTTTTTAATAATTGCATCAATTTTCATTTATATATAATAATTTTGATTTAAAAAATGCAAGTTTTACTTGATCCACCACAAACATACATAAATACTTTTGACCATGATTGCAATGAGATATTGATACTTGATTCATGCAAAATAAGCATATAGAGTAAGTGCTAACAAATATTTAAATAAAGACCAAAGCCAACTCTGAAATAAATGCTCAAGAAACATATATGCTATGAATCAATGTAGGGAGAAATCTATCACTTGGCCATTACTATCACCATTATTGGGAAGTTGGAAATTATAATAGAATAACCTTAGTGAGTATGCTTTCTTCCAAAACTTGCAAATAAGGCTTTTATATAACTATGTATTTGTGTGTAATCTCTATTAAACTAAAATCCACCACCTTTCAGAAACCATGACTAGAATTATCATAAGCTTCATCAAGTTTATCTAGGACCATAGCCACAAAATCTATAATAAATTTCCTAGTATGCTTTCAGCTAAAAAGGCATAAGCTATTAGCATTCTATCCTGGATTCTATAAACATGTGATTAGCCCATGATGCCCCATTTTTCTCCTAGGGGAAACTAACTATTCCACCCAGAAGAGTTCCTTTTAAAAAAGTAGAAAAGTATCCAC